ATTACACCGTAGTATTTGTTTCGTNCAACCCTGAGAGAAGCCTCCAGGAAGCTGTTAGTAATGCTGATCTTCTTATAAGTACATCAGATTTTGCCTTGGAATACCCACAACCTCTGTTGCCAGGTGAGAGGAAGAGACGTTATGGGGGTGGAGACAGGAGGGGGACACTGTCCAGAGCTATTTGAAAATGACGAATAAAGAATCGTTAGCGTTAATGTTTATTTCTGTTGGGATTATATTCCACAGGCAATGTTATGGTTGGACCACCAAATGCCAGAGAACCTAACCCTCTTCCCCCTGATTTAGAAGAATTTGTCAGTAATTCAGGGGGCCATGGTTTTATCATTGTTTCCTTTGGAGCAAACGTAGCTTCAAATCTTCCAAAGCCAGTGGTAGACATGTTAGCTACAGCGTTTGGGAAGCTGAAACAGCGAGTGGTGTGGAGACTCAAAGGTAATAGTGGAGTAAAACAAAGGAACTACTTCCCGTAATTAGCAATAGTGGGTACCTCGTGGACTATTTGAAAGTACCAGGTACATCTTGTGAACCTTTAACTAAGGGAGGCTGAGCAAAGCATAGTTTTATACTTTACTGTGTGCAAGCCTGTTGCATTCAAATTGATAACGTCGCTCATAAGGTTCTACTCCGCTGATTCTACTCCGCAGGCTCATTTTCGGTGTCATAAATGGGTTAAGTTTGTTGTTGGTTGTCGCTCCGTGGAATTTTCTCCAGGTTCTCCGGTTTTCCTCCCTCCCCAGAAACCGGTACCAACACTGCTAAATTCCAATTCGATCTGGAAACAGTGAACGAAGATGTGGGATGTGCCACTGCAAATTCCTGTTTATTTTATTTGTTATTTAATTTAGTGAGAGCAGCATAATTGACATCAGAACCTCTCTTCTCCGGCAGGTTACATTCCATCATTCCTTGGCAAAAACATCAGAGCAGTGGATTGGTTACTTCAGAATGATCTACTAGGTCACAAGGATATCAAAGTTTTTGTCTCCCATGTGGGACACAACAGTCTTTATGAGTCTGCGTATCATGGTGTTCCTGTGGTAGCGTTTCCTTTGTACGCTGATCAGCAAAGCAATGCTAAGAAAGCAGAGTATGTTGGCCTTGGTTTAGCTGTGGATTATAAAAGCACTGATGCCCAACAATTGTTGGAGACAATTGAGCGTGTTATTGGTGAACCAAGGTAGCTATTTTGCTTACTTGTCCATGTTTAGTGTTGACATTCGGTAACCTGCAATATGGTTCCCAGGACCTTTTCCTTAGAAATTCCCAGTTGAGTTTGGGCAAGACGAAATCAAGGTGCAGTGCTCGGATCGCAAAGGTATTTACCTTGATCTGGTTTTGGTAAACTGTTTTGAACAAGATGCCGTGGCTGTTAACAAGACAATTAAGATATGTCCCATGACATTATTGAGTCTCCAATGGAGCTGTTTATTTAGGGGGATGAAGAGTTACGTATTGAGGTGTTGCGGAGCAACATTACCCAAATTATTTGCCTGAACTACTCGTTAGAATAGGTAAGAGATCGTGTTCAATTTAACAGTTAGCGACAGAGGGGCGCCACATGATTTTATACTTTGTATGCTTACTGTGATGCGGTGGCCTCATGGTTAGTAAGCTCGTCTCCTGATCGAGCGGTCCGGGTTCGAGCCCTGGCCATGGACATTGTGTTGTGTTCAGTTGGGTAAGACACTTTACTCTCACAGTGCCTCTTTCCACCCAGGTGGATAAATGGGTACCCCCGAATTTAATGCTGAGAGTAACCCAGCCATGGACTAGCATCCCATCCCGGGGGGGNAGGTTCAAAACCAAAGCAATGCATATCTCTGGCCTGTTAAAGGATCGTCGACAAACGCCCCTCCAAGAAATCTGTGACTGGGTAGAGTATGTACTCAGACATGGTGGAGCCCGGCACCTCAGAGCTCAAGTGTTTAACATCCCTTGGTATCAGTACTATTTGCTTGACGTCATGGCATTCCTTGTTGCCATAGTTATCATGGTCGTCATGGTGATACGACTGGCATGTAGATGCCTGTGTCGTGTGTGCTGTAAGAAGGGTGATATCAAAACTAAGGAGGAGTAAATGATGGAAAAGTGTCGGTGTGCGCCTTCGTTAGAACTTTAGTTAGAGCTTAATGTTCTTAAGTTATTAGTTATAGGTGAAAAAAAATGTCTCAAGAAAAATGTCAATGTAAATGTTGACTTAAAAATGTAGTGGAGATTTTGTTATAGATATTAATTAAGGTTAAGGTGGCTCTTAACCAAAACCACAGAATTTATTTTAAATTAAAAAGTTCGCAAAAAGTTGCATCTTAAAATGGACGTCGTGCAGATACATAAGCAATTTCCAAAAAGAAGCGAAGGCCTAGGTACGAGATTAGCGCTAGTGTTTTGTTGGGCATGTGAGCAGCGGTTTTCCCCGTAGGTTTGCTTAGGAGTTGTCAACAAGAGACAAAGGTAAACTATTCGATCTTTCATTCCTTCGCTGAATTTCTTTCATCGTATTCAACTACATTGAATGCTCTCTGTGTAGCCACCTGAAATACTATCAAGGCCTCTCGAAAATGATTTAAATTTATGGATGTCAAGAGGTTTTTTTTCTTACATTTTATTTTATCTTACCTACTTTTACTTTAGTTTTTTATTTTTCTTGTTTTTTGCTTTCTGCAATGGAAATTTCCGGTTCATTAACCCATCAAGATATTTCAAAGAGTGTTATTGATAAGACAGGGGTATTACCTTAAGCACAGCATGAAGATAGAGATCCAAGGAAAATAAAAGTTTAGTCACCCAACTTAACGCTATAATTTGATGTCGTTTAAGGTCTTTAAAGCCGACATTCACGCTACCATTCGTCAAGTTGACCTAAGGCTGGCTTGAAGTTGATAATGTGTTTATTCAAACCTCTTGCAGTACATACGGACTAGATTACAGGTTTGGTCAGTGATAAATAATACTAATAAGTACACTTCAGTACAGATATGATGATGCAATAATCACGGATATCACTCTACCATCAACTGAAGTTACAGTGTCACAACCGAGGCATACTTGTTTGTGACGAAATCACCAAACCTATTGGTGGCTGTGGCATGGACAGTGGTCTTTTTTTATTATATAGTCGCAGTTGACATATAAATAACCTTCAGTCCAGCAACAACTTTAAGCAACAACTCAAAATTCACTTAAAAGTTTTAGTCTCCTTAAGTGACGTGACCGGAGCCTATATAGTGGAGAAAGATAACCTTACGGGGCATCTCACGTGTAGAAAAAGGCCTGGACACCCGCCAATAGTCGGACTGCTGAGCGGTGAAGAGCGATGACCTTTAGCAATCCTAACCGCAACATCGAAAGCCGGAGTTAACAGCCACTCTGTATTTCTTCGGTATAAAAGGCTTTGTAGTAAATACGACAGGATAAAATCATGATCGTGAATTATAAAAACATTTGCAGTGATCTGGAATCAGGAATCATTACAGTGAGAAGTCCAGAACCCACTAAACAGAGCGCAGTTCATTTTGACGAAACCACAAATCCAATACCTTCCACATTATCTCAAGCACGTGTAAACAAGAGCCAAAGGTCAAGCTATTTAAAGAAAATCCTCTAATATATACCCTGAAAACTCCTCTTTTTGACTTCAGTTCTGGTGTTTGAAAACTGACACATCAGTAAAGAAACTGAATTAACGGTCTGCCAGATTTTGGAGTCCGTCAGTTTCATCCTAGCTCTTCTTTCCGCAACACGTTCTGGAGAATTGTACCAAAAAAAGCCATGGAAATCGAGACACATGACGATGGATACTAAAATGGAAGCTCCATTAGCGGGGGCTCTGCGTATCCCACATCCCGTTAATTCTTGGCCAAAATAGCCTACGTAGCGGGCGTTTCCAAAGAAAGCACGGGAAGGGAACGAAACTGCGAATGAGTGCGAAAAACAAGGAGCAGAAGGAGAAGCCACGCCCTTCCAATTCTCCCCAATTTTTCGCTCGCCCGCTTGCTCGCTCGCTAGTTCGATCTCTCCGCCTGGGAAAGGAAAGGACTGACACGGCTGCTACGCAGACTACAAAAATTAGCGATTTGCCCACTTGATATCCCGTTTTATCTGATTACAATATTCCATATCCCATTATACTCCGTTGATGTTTTACCTTAATATTCCCGTATCCCGAAACACCCCTAACAGGACCTTAAAATGATGACAATTTAAACTATGGTCAGTATGATACCCATAATGGGTTTTTTATCTGATAGCTGAAATCGAAATGACAAGAGGATCAAATGATTTGAAGAAGGTTGAAACTGAAGTATTAAACGCTGTAAGGTGTCTAAATAAACAGAATATCTTCACCTGGTTCCAACCCCGATCAACTTACATTTCACTTTAGTCGATATATCACTGTCTGTGGACTTTAATCGTCGCGTATTCTTAATATAGTTCCTCAAATAGACACGCGTCTGTATTGTGATCGGCCGGCCGTCTGGGATGGCTGTTTCTCCCAGAAGTGAAATTTGATTAATTGCTGGACAGTAGCAGTGTTCTTACAACTCACCATGGTATCTCGAAAAGTATTACTGACCTCGAGATGGGGATATTATCTTCAAATTGACGAACAGCAAAACATTTGTGGCGCGAGAACGAAAGATGACTACTGTGGTAAGATAAAAAAAAATATATACTATACACTCGCCGCGTTCATTTGGTCAACCTCAAGCCATTTTGAGATTACTAACGTAATGCCCTTCTTTTTGGTTCCCAGTTTTAGAAATGAATACGGTCGATTTCAGCAAGGTTACCATTCGAGGAGAAAATACCAATGTATATATTGCGATGAATGCCCAAGGAAATTTATTCACAACGGTAAGTAATGTTGTTGAAGTGTTTTAGTTTATAGTTAGCCGGAATTTTTCTGGCCCTTTAATCGTTTCATTTGCTGGTGGATGTTAGGAGTAAAAATGCCAAGAAACCGGGTAAGCAACGCTTCTTTAAAAGGAGTTCGATTCCAAGTTTAAGTGTTAACATTAGGGACTTTAGCAAACCACGACGAAGGCAACGAGATCGTCACCAAACAAAAGGTATAATGAGCAAAACAATAGCTGTGCACGTGCGTTATAAATCTAAATCTTTGTACATTTCTTTGCTGTCCTCTGCAACACTAGAACGTGACATGGCCAAGTTCTGCGTAGTCTGAGGCACGCGAACGACTACGGCTAATTTCTGGTATTTCCATTTGGAATCAACTGCTGTTATTACATATTTAGCCTGAGCACGTTCCTAGGGCCACTGGTGTACTGCACAGATCTTGACAATCGCGAATTTCACTAGTAAAATATAAATTCATTTTTGACAAGGCGTCGTCCTCGGCGTCGCCGTCGTTGTTGTTTAAGCTCCCTATTATTATGGCAGTGATGGTTCGAAAGTACATATCTCAAAACAACTGTCAACGAGATATTGGTAACTGAGATATTGGTCTAACACGATAAACCTATTTGTGGTTGGATAATCTGGCGCCAAAAGTAACAGTTTGAATCCTACATTATGAAGTCAACATATGGCGCGATTTCCTTAAAAGTGATTGATTGCTCTCGGTTGTGAAATTACCTATCATCTTGAAATGCCGTTTTGAAGGAGAGAAGCAATGGCTACCAATACAACAACGCCCTCTAAGGAGCTCAAAACATGCCATTGTACCAAGGCATGATACTTTTCTTTTTTTTCAGTAGTTTTAACCCACTTTAAGGTCCTTTAGAAGACATAACTTAACCACATTAGATACCTGACTCAAGATTTCACTCGTGAAGTCACAGGCTTCCCTCCTTGGGAGGGGTTGGGGTTTACCTTCAACGTTTTTTACGGGGAGGCTCTTCACTAACCCTTACCCTTTACTAGACTTTTGGCATATACCTTCCATAGAGAGTGGTACATCTTTCACATACCTTCTAGCAGTAGACACGGTATATCCTTTTTTTCTATACCCGACTGAGTAACCTCTTAAACTTCACCTGGTGAACTAGCCATTCGAGATATTTGGAAAGGGTCTTTTCAAATAACAATATGACAGTCTTTCTACCCCTTTCTACATTTCAACTCGTGAAATTCATTCCCTTTTTTTACACCTCCAGTCTGAAAAAGATGCCCCTTCCGGGAGGGGGCTTCCCACTGTAGTCCAGATACAATTTCCAACGGTTTATCTTTAACATCAACTACGCTTTTTTAACCATCGTTTTGATGTTTTTCTGAATTATTTTCTAGGACACTGAGAATCCGTCTTGTGTGTGGAAGGAAATTCACCAAAGCGACGGTTACAACTACTACGAGTCAGACCAACATGGCGGGTTCTTCTTGGCTCTCAAGCGGAAAGGTGTTCCGAAAAACGGTAACAGGACTGCTCTGGGACAAATTTCCAGCGCTTTTCTCGCGCAATCGGTTCAGTGACACGTTTTGGAGTCGACTAACCCTCATCAATACGAACTATGCGAGAAACAAATAATTATCATGATATTGTATTTCTAAAGGACATCATAAATATCTAGTATCTGTAAAATACATGATCATTTTGAAACTAAAAGAAAACTTGATCCTTGATCTCGTTTATTTAAATTGTCATGTGTTAAAATAAAGGAACGCTGAAGTAACAGGTATAAAAAAGATGTTAACTTTTTTTATCATATTTAACAGTCAACACACGTTGAAACTAAAAGAGTAAAACGAAAACTCAATTTGATCTTTATCTTTTGGATTTGATGGTTTTTAAGCTACAAAGATGCGTGATTGAAATGAGTTTATAATCAACGTTATGGGGCAGTATAGGTAGCCTGTAGTATTACTGGCGTATTATTGGCGCGCGAGTGCACATTTTCTTATTAGGCCGCCATCTTGAATTTGGTAACTGTGGAAGGTTGGAGCGAGGAAAAATTGCCGAGGGAAGAGGCGCGAGGTGGAAAAATGGGCGAGGGAGGAGGGAGGGAAAACTGCCCCCAANCCCCCCCCCACTGCACTCTGCACCAACCCTCTACCGATCAAGCATCCTATGTTATAGGCGACTCTTTATTATATGGAATTGAAACTTCCGTAAGACATAAAATACCAAACAAATCAAACACACAATCAAATGGACTACCCCCAACACGAGAGCACTACAGTTTGATAGAGATCTATTATTGACGTATGTCCATCTATCAATTGATAATTGTGTAAAATTCGATCTAAATTTTCAATATTTCACATCTAGTATCCCACCCGACCCCATTCGTTTCTTATATTTCATAAATACCTTTAAAATCATCAAAAATTCTTACAACGTCTACTGGATCTTCAACAAAGCTATGGAAGCATATTTAGAGCGTATGCATAACAGCACACAAATAACGCGAAATACTGCACTGCTAAAACTGAGCTAAAACTGCATTCAGGTACAACACACAACTCCTTACACCCACCCCCTCAAAAGAGCGAAGCACTTCCTTTTTGTCATTTTTTTTCTTCCCTTCCATTTTGCACCCTTGTCTAAGCCGTTTTATATAATGTTTTAAACGACAATATCAAATGGATACAACGAACGTTCCGTCTCAGAGCGAGTTGACCACAGTGCGTCAAAAACCCAGAATTACTCCACTTGTCATGTTATAGTGATCTCTTTTTAATCACTGCCTTGATAAAAACTATTTGCTGTTTCACTTCCCATAACCAACTTGTGCTGGAGCAAAATAGAATCACTACAAAATCCACTCACGCTTGTTCGATGTTTAGCATTTCTGTGCGCCATCTACTTCTCGAAAATATATTAAACATCTTTGTTTTATAATATAATACTTTCTGTCCGGTAATATTTAGGGTAGCTACTACACCATCAACAGACGCACATTGCTCAAGGGCGTTATTCTCTGGCTTGATTTTAGGAGCATTCATAATCTCCAGGAATCATTCTTCATCTTGGACAAAGCTGGGTTTTCACTTTCATGGGGTATAAAGCCGAGCGTAATTACCATTCTTTAACCCGAGTTACATCAGGAGAGTGGCTTACATTACGCAAGGGAGGTTTTACGTTTGGGATGGAGAGACCTCGGTCCATTTCAGGGGTAGGTTGAGGTCATATTATCAGACCTTCGGAATATGTTCAAGACAACGTTTGGGTCATCTTGAAAATGACTCTTGGATAACTATGTTCTTCATCGCACCACTTTATCTCATCAAGTAAAACTTTAGCCCTTCGAGGTTGGGAAAATGACGTCACGATCCGTCGAGCGAGCAAACATGTTGGGGCGAAGATTCGGTGGCTTTTCCAACGGTTCTAACTATAGTCGAATAATTATCGTTCACTGTTCCACTGAAACAATCCGCTACACGTTGTACAGAAGATTCGGTTTCTTGTCAAATGGTTGCACCCAGTGAAAGTACTCTAACCAGTTCTTAACGCAACCCCTGTCGAACGGGTTCAGAAAGATCCCAGATGGTCCTCTGAGGTACGCGTATCGCTTCTTGTTTATTCTTTCGTTAGTAGTAAGGTTGATTGAAATTTGATTGAGCTATTTAGAACAAATGAAAAAGTACAAAGTAATTAAAATACAACAAGGCTGAGCGTCGTACAAATAGTGCAATCTTAGCTAAGGAACCTTTTTTTATCTCCAGAAGTGATACTCCACTACTGGTTCGTTCCCAGTCACGCTTCGTCACGCTTTCGGAAGAGCGTTGTGACAGACTGATTAACTGATATCTTCTTTTTACCTCGTTATAACAAATTCAAATAAGCGGTGGTAAGAATAAAACAGCTGATCATCAAAAACGTCGTCGATTGAGAAGAGGAACACGAAAACGACAAATAGCTACATAGTGAAATTTTATATAGCGTAATAATTTTAGCTTGCGAGGCAAACACAAACACAAGTGTTAGCGTGAACTGAAGTATCGAATGCAACTGAAAGGTACCCTCAACGAGCAGAATCAGCTTTTCTGATTATTCTCCTTGTTTTGCCTCTGTGTGTGCTTTACCCTGATTTCACGATTTTATTCACTGCGAACACACACGTACGGATAAACGCAAACAAGAGTGGGAGAGAAATCGAGACGGATGTGAAGTAGGGCGCTAAGGATTTCACATTTCACGTTAGATAACAACGACTTTATACTTACTATAAAGATGAAGAGCGCTCCCATGAGAATGGACACCGCAATAAACTGTAGCAGTCCAAGAAGGAACAACCAGCTAAACCCAAACAAGTACAACATGGTGATAGCAAAGTACACCGTGATGAAACTACACAACGCCACACACGATACAAATATGGAGAAAGGGCCCCTGAAAAAAAAAGAAAGAAAGAAATTACAGGCTGGTAAAGTGATTTGCTGGTGATTTCAAATAAAAATAGAGCGCTTAAAATTTATATTCTTAAAGGAGCTCAGTTACAGACGGTATTTTTAGCTATTTTGGCCACATAAAAGCTTACCTGTAAACTGAAGGAACTCTGAAAATAATAGTTCTACTAAGATAGAAAAAACACTAAAGAGATAATAATACACCATAAAGGAAAAACGATCGTTAAGGATGGAGAAGATTAACACGGATTGCAAACGACGAACTTGAAAAATTTAGGCTCAACTTTTCAAGATGCCCAAACCGTGACGTAGCTTCTTTAACCCTCTAATAACGGTTGCAAAACGTAAACCAACCTTAACGCAAAGCTTCACGAAGTGAAAATGAAAGGACAAACTGACCAGTTCCCACTTGGCTTGATAGTTCAGTTGGTAGAAGTCAAGGTAGGTTAGATTACAAGCTAGCCGCTGCTCGGGAAAGAGCTCGCGCTCCTCCCCCGAAGTCGGAGAGAAAACGTAAATCGGACTCGAGAAATCGGTGGAAACTGAGCCCAAGGTCCAGGGTTCCAATCCCGTTCTAGCCTGACTTTTTTCCAGGATTTATTTTCGCAGCTGCCTAAGTTCCGTGTATACTGTGATGGTCTTTCGTAAATAATTGTTCAAAGATCTGACATTTCATATATTATTTTGCCTAAAGTGTAGTGTGATAAGCCTCTTCTTCCATAAAGCGTCGCCATCCTAAGTAACAAGAGAGGCGCTGCCTTGTATACGATTATTTAGAGAACTTTACATCACAACGCTGAACACAAGCATAACAAAGAAGTGCGATTACAATTTAAACAAAGTTTTAACGAAACTTAGAAAACAGACATCCTAAAAATCTTCTTTTCTCATTGTGAACAGTATAATTGATGTGGTCGAGTTTCCTGAATATACCGGCTGCTTTTCCTGAATATACCGATTGTCAAAGCAATCACTTCCACAAAAAGTCGTTGTAAAAGGTTGACGGCTACCACGTTTTCCCGCCGAAAAAAGCAAAGTCACCCCCGCGCACTCCGGCGACACTTCACGAGCGACGAGTGAGTTGCCGGATGCCGGTGACCCATTATTGGCGCCAAATTAAAAGCTTGGAGGGACAAATGTTTGATATTTTTTTTCACTTTTTACAATCTGATATGGTTTTTGGAATTATAAATCCCTTTTCGTGAAAAATCAATTTTCGTCTCCAGTGAGAAAAGTTGCCCGACTTCAACACCTTTCCTGTTAACATACATTGACGCCAGGACAGTAACAGTTTTTCCCGCCTGCTGAATCTTGATTGGTCAATTCAAATTTCAGGCGCGCCAGCCTTATGCAAGGTTGTTATTATATGATAATCTCGTAGTTGTAGTGCCACTCCTTTAAGGTCTTGATCATACATAATACATCAGACAAGATGGCATAACACAAAATACAATATGACAGTGATGTTAAACTTTCAAAGTGCGAAATGACGTTTATTTACCTGTTCCGAAGGCCGACGCAGTTGTTAATGTACGGACAGTGATGATCAAAGTGCTTGACACACCGGTTACATATCCTACAATGCTTTGCACGCAGGGGTCGCACCAGTCTACACGTATGACAAAGGTTCTCCAGAGGATTCTGTCCTGTTCTGACCTGCCACTCTTCATAGAATGGAACCTAAAACGAACCAAACACGTCATTGTATAGGAGTCCGTATTCTATAGGAGACGGCGTGGACGAGTGCTCAGGTTTAATTTATCCTCCCTACCGCTATCTGGCTTTGTTCTCGGTAGCCCCGAGTTCAACTCCTCGACCGCGTTGTGTAAATAGCCAACTGGTCAACCTCCTACCAGTTGAGATTCTTAATAGTTTATGTTTTATTTCCAATATTTATTTATTTATTTACAGTGTCCCCACTTAGCACAACAGTGGTAAATACATTTGACACTTAAATAGAGCTATTTCTTTTTATGTTATTTTGTAGCGTGTGTGCAAATCTAGCCGTCCGCAAAAAAAGAATCTAGGACAAAAGTGGTAATTTGAAGTGCAATACGCCAATAGACCTTTTTAGCCTGGGCGGTTTGTTCCCTCATTTCAGACCATGTGATGATACTCTTGAGAATTCTTGCTTTCAAATTTTCAAGTAATCGCTTGCATGTGAATGAATAGTTTTTAAATGGATAAAAGAGCAATGCTCCAGAGAATATTGCTCCAGAGAATATCACGTGGTCTGTAATGGGAAAACAAACCACCCAAACTGAAGAGGTCTCTACTGGAATTGGGAAGAGAAGCTGAAACATGGATCCATGTAAGATAGTAAGATAGAGGCTAAAATTTGTGGCTTGATACCACTTAGAGTATTAAAACTTAAGGTGACCACCCGGTACCTATTTAATTAGGGCATTAAACAGGGGAAAAACATGGCAGGAACTACATTGTACCCCTTGCCTTAGCATTAGTACCACCAAGGAATGGATTTGAACCATGACCTAAAAAAAATTCTGGTGCCTATAAGGGGTTCCCTTACAAAATCCAATAGATCACCCTGTCACTTTTAACATCGAGAGAAAACCGAGTTAAACCGAACACGGCCGTTGAACACTTACTAAACAAACGCTCTTTGCAAGAAAGATGATACACGGAGCTGTCACGTGAACGTACCTGTTTTAGCGCCATGTCATAATCGGGACTATGGCACGGGATAAATCCCGGATCCCTCGAGTTGGCGTAGTACAACGACACCCACAAAATAACATTAAGGGAAATAAACAGGTAGTGAGTCAAAGGCATGTAACTCAACGTATCTGGAAGAACCTGCGAGAAATAAAATATTTCAGCGTTAAAATCAACCGTTTCGCAAGCCTGGGTGACGTATCAGGTGAAGTCTGCGCCAGGCGGCCAGTGGCACATCCAGTCGGAGCTTATCCCGGTTCCTGTAGCATGAAGCGACTACGTCTATTTTCACTCCCCCCCTGGATGGGATGCTAGTCCATCATAGGATTACAAACAGCACTAAATTCGCCAGTACCCATTTTTACACCTGGGTGAAGAGAGGCACTGTGAGAGTAAAGTGTCTTGCCCAAGAACACAACACAATGTCCCCGGCCAGGGCTCGAACCNGAGCGAGTTGACCACAGTGCGTCAAAAACCCAGAATTACTCCACTTGTCATGTTATAGTGATCTCTTTTTAATCACTGCCTTGATAAAAACTATTTGCTGTTTCACTTCCCATAACCAACTTGTGCTGGAGCAAAATAGAATCACTACAAAATCCACTCACGCTTGTTCGATGTTTAGCATTTCTGTGCGCCATCTACTTCTCGAAAATATATTAAACATCTTTGTTTTATAATATAATACTTTCTGTCCGGTAATATTTAGGGTAGCTACTACACCATCAACAGACGCACATTGCTCAAGGGCGTTATTCTCTGGCTTGATTTTAGGAGCATTCATAATCTCCAGGAATCATTCTTCATCTTGGACAAAGCTGGGTTTTCACTTTCATGGGGTATAAAGCCGAGCGTAATTACCATTCTTTAACCCGAGTTACATCAGGAGAGTGGCTTACATTACGCAAGGGAGGTTTTACGTTTGGGATGGAGAGACCTCGGTCCATTTCAGGGGTAGGTTGAGGTCATATTATCAGACCTTCGGAATATGTTCAAGACAACGTTTGGGTCATCTTGAAAATGACTCTTGGATAACTATGTTCTTCATCGCACCACTTTATCTCATCAAGTAAAACTTTAGCCCTTCGAGGTTGGGAAAATGACGTCACGATCCGTCGAGCGAGCAAACATGTTGGGGCGAAGATTCGGTGGCTTTTCCAACGGTTCTAACTATAGTCGAATAATTATCGTTCACTGTTCCACTGAAACAATCCGCTACACGTTGTACAGAAGATTCGGTTTCTTGTCAAATGGTTGCACCCAGTGAAAGTACTCTAACCAGTTCTTAACGCAACCCCTGTCGAACGGGTTCAGAAAGATCCCAGATGGTCCTCTGAGGTACGCGTATCGCTTCTTGTTTATTCTTTCGTTAGTAGTAAGGTTGATTGAAATTTGATTGAGCTATTTAGAACAAATGAAAAAGTACAAAGTAATTAAAATACAACAAGGCTGAGCGTCGTACAAATAGTGCAATCTTAGCTAAGGAACCTTTTTTTATCTCCAGAAGTGATACTCCACTACTGGTTCGTTCCCAGTCACGCTTCGTCACGCTTTCGGAAGAGCGTTGTGACAGACTGATTAACTGATATCTTCTTTTTACCTCGTTATAACAAATTCAAATAAGCGGTGGTAAGAATAAAACAGCTGATCATCAAAAACGTCGTCGATTGAGAAGAGGAACACGAAAACGACAAATAGCTACATAGTGAAATTTTATATAGCGTAATAATTTTAGCTTGCGAGGCAAACACAAACACAAGTGTTAGCGTGAACTGAAGTATCGAATGCAACTGAAAGGTACCCTCAACGAGCAGAATCAGCTTTTCTGATTATTCTCCTTGTTTTGCCTCTGTGTGTGCTTTACCCTGATTTCACGATTTTATTCACTGCGAACACACACGTACGGATAAACGCAAACAAGAGTGGGAGAGAAATCGAGACGGATGTGAAGTAGGGCGCTAAGGATTTCACATTTCACGTTAGATAACAACGACTTTATACTTACTATAAAGATGAAGAGCGCTCCCATGAGAATGGACACCGCAATAAACTGTAGCAGTCCAAGAAGGAACAACCAGCTAAACCCAAACAAGTACAACATGGTGATAGCAAAGTACACCGTGATGAAACTACACAACGCCACACACGATACAAATATGGAGAAAGGGCCCCTGAAAAAAAAAGAAAGAAAGAAATTACAGGCTGGTAAAGTGATTTGCTGGTGATTTCAAATAAAAATAGAGCGCTTAAAATTTATATTCTTAAAGGAGCTCAGTTACAGACGGTATTTTTAGCTATTTTGGCCACATAAAAGCTTACCTGTAAACTGAAGGAACTCTGAAAATAATAGTTCTACTAAGATAGAAAAAACACTAAAGAGATAATAATACACCATAAAGGAAAAACGATCGTTAAGGATGGAGAAGATTAACACGGATTGCAAACGACGAACTTGAAAAATTTAGGCTCAACTTTTCAAGATGCCCAAACCGTGACGTAGCTTCTTTAACCCTCTAATAACGGTTGCAAAACGTAAACCAACCTTAACGCAAAGCTTCACGAAGTGAAAATGAAAGGACAAACTGACCAGTTCCCACTTGGCTTGATAGTTCAGTTGGTAGAAGTCAAGGTAGGTTAGATTACAAGCTAGCCGCTGCTCGGGAAAGAGCTCGCGCTCCTCCCCCGAAGTCGGAGAGAAAACGTAAATCGGACTCGAGAAATCGGTGGAAACTGAGCCCAAGGTCCAGGGTTCCAATCCCGTTCTAGCCTGACTTTTTTCCAGGATTTATTTTCGCAGCTGCCTAAGTTCCGTGTATACTGTGATGGTCTTTCGTAAATAATTGTTCAAAGATCTGACATTTCATATATTATTTTGCCTAAAGTGTAGTGTGATAAGCCTCTTCTTCCATAAAGCGTCGCCATCCTAAGTAACAAGAGAGGCGCTGCCTTGTATACGATTATTTAGAGAACTTTACATCACAACGCTGAACACAAGCATAACAAAGAAGTGCGATTACAATTTAAACAAAGTTTTAACGAAACTTAGAAAACAGACATCCTAAAAATCTTCTTTTCTCATTGTGAACAGTATAATTGATGTGGTCGAGTTTCCTGAATATACCGGCTGCTTTTCCTGAATATACCGATTGTCAAAGCAATCACTTCCACAAAAAGTCGTTGTAAAAGGTTGACGGCTACCACGTTTTCCCGCCGAAAAAAGCAAAGTCACCCCCGCGCACTCCGGCGACACTTCACGAGCGACGAGTGAGTTGCCGGATGCCGGTGACCCATTATTGGCGCCAAATTAAAAGCTTGGAGGGACAAATGTTTGATATTTTTTTTCACTTTTTACAATCTGATATGGTTTTTGGAATTATAAATCCCTTTTCGTGAAAAATCAATTTTCGTCTCCAGTGAGAAAAGTTGCCCGACTTCAACACCTTTCCTGTTAACATACATTGACGCCAGGACAGTAACAGTTTTTCCCGCCTGCTGAATCTTGATTGGTCAATTCAAATTTCAGGCGCGCCAGCCTTATGCAAGGTTGTTATTATATGATAATCTCGTAGTTGTAGTGCCACTCCTTTAAGGTCTTGATCATACATAATACATCAGACAAGATGGCATAACACAAAATACAATATGACAGTGATGTTAAACTTTCAAAGTGCGAAATGACGTTTATTTACCTGTTCCGAAGGCCGACGCAGTTGTTAATGTACGGACAGTGATGATCAAAGTGCTTGACACACCGGTTACATATCCTACAATGCTTTGCACGCAGGGGTCGCACCAGTCTACACGTATGACAAAGGTTCTCCAGAGGATTCTGTCCTGTTCTGACCTGCCACTCTTCATAGAATGGAACCTAAAACGAACCAAACACGTCATTGTATAGGAGTCCGTATTCTATAGGAGACGGCGTGGACGAGTGCTCAGGTTTAATTTATCCTCCCTACCGCTATCTGGCTTTGTTCTCGGTAGCCCCGAGTTCAACTCCTCGACCGCGTTGTGTAAATAGCCAACTGGTCAACCTCCTACCAGTTGAGATTCTTAATAGTTTATGTTTTATTTCCAATATTTATTTATTTATTTACAGTGTCCCCACTTAGCACAACAGTGGTAAATACATTTGACACTTAAATAGAGCTATTTCTTTTTATGTTATTTTGTAGCGTGTGTGCAAATCTAGCCGTCCGCAAAAAAAGAATCTAGGACAAAAGTGGTAATTTGAAGTGCAATACGCCAATAGACCTTTTTAGCCTGGGCGGTTTGTTCCCTCATTTCAGACCATGTGATGATACTCTTGAGAATTCTTGCTTTCAAATTTTCAAGTAATCGCTTGCATGTGAATGAATAGTTTTTAAATGGATAAAAGAGCAATGCTCCAGAGAATATTGCTCCAGAGAATATCACGTGGTCTGTAATGGGAAAACAAACCACCCAAACTGAAGAGGTCTCTACTGGAATTGGGAAGAGAAGCTGAAACATGGATCCATGTAAGATAGTAAGATAGAGGCTAAAATTTGTGGCTTGATACCACTTAGAGTATTAAAACTTAAGGTGACCACCCGGTACCTATTTAATTAGGGCATTAAACAGGGGAAAAAACATGGCAGGAACTACATTGTACCCCTTGCCTTAGCATTAGTACCACCAAGGAATGGATTTGAACCATGACCTAAAAAAAATTCTGGTGCCTATAAGGGGTTCCCTTACAAAATCCAATAGATCACCCTGTCACTTTTAACATCGAGAGAAAACCGAGTTAAACCGAACACGGCCGTTGAACACTTACTAAACAAACGCTCTTTGCAAGAAAGATGATACACGGAGCTGTCACGTGAACGTACCTGTTTTAGCGCCATGTCATAATCGGGACTATGGCACGGGATAAATCCCGGATCCCTCGAGTTGGCGTAGTACAACGACACCCACAAAATAACATTAAGGGAAATAAACAGGTAGTGAGTCAAAGGCATGTAACTCAACGTATCTGGAAGAACCTGCGAGAAATAAAATATTTCAGCGTTAAAATCAACCGTTTCGCAAGCCTGGGTGACGTATCAGGTGAAGTCTGCGCCAGGCGGCCAGTGGCACATCCAGTCGGAGCTTATCCCGGTTCCTGTAGCATGAAGCGACTACGTCTATTTTCACTCCCCCCCTGGATGGGATGCTAGTCCATCATAGGATTACAAACAGCACTAAATTCGCCAGTACCCATTTTTACACCTGGGTGAAGAGAGGCACTGTGAGAGTAAAGTGTCTTGCCCAAGAACACAACACAATGTCCCCGGCCAGGGCTCGAACCCGGACCGCTCGGTCCAGAGTCCAGCATGCCAACCATTAGGCCACCTCGCCTTGAGCCCGGCGTTCAATTAAGAAACTGACACGGTAATGTGCTTCAGCCTGGATGGGATACTAGTCCATAGCAAGCTATCCTAGTCCCTCCTCAGCTTGCCCTAAAAGTTGGTTTGTACCATTAAAACACCATTAGTTAGATCAGAGAGGCATTCTGAGGGTTAAATCAGAATTGAACCCAGACCGCTTGATTCGGCGCCAAAAATACCAACAGTCAGAGCATAAGTTGTATACTTCATCTTCATAGCTGTCAACGCAAAAATCAACGCCACTTCCGGTTTTCATGGCCTCGAATTCAGTAGGAGTTTCAAGCAAAAATTTGCACGACTTTCGCAAGAAAACGTTCTGAGACGAGCCGATAAACTAGGAAGATAGCAATTATTCAATCCTTAATGTATACGCAGCGTACAAAGTTTAACTTTTCAGTGACGATCTTAACTTTTGGCTCAATAGTGAAGAATTTGAGAAATCTGAGACAGTTTGGAGGGACAATGGCGGGAAGAGCGGGTGCGCAGTACGTTTGACCGCTGTGGATACACCATCACCACAAATGTGACAACCACAGCGTTAGCTAGATTTGCGCAAAATTCATTATAAAAAGTACTTACATAGAAGAAATACACGGGATAGCCCCAAATAAGCAAGTTTCCTAACAAAAATAAGAGTGCTCCTTTAGATCTACCAGGCGGGCCAAATACAACGTCTCTGAAATGAGAAAGGTCAGAAAAGTACGTTACACTTGGGTAACATAGCAAAAACAATATTGAAAGAGATCAAACTGACGTGTGGAGTAATTTAGTGATTTCTGAGGAAAAGGCTGTTGTTTTGCTTGTTTGTTTGTTTGTTTGTTTATTATTTAACAGTATTATGAGGTAGAGGTATTATTTTTAGTTTTGTCCTTATTAAAATCAATTCATGTTGTATAACAAAAATATTGTACGTAGAGTTAGTATTGTATGCAGTGTTGCTAGTAATAAGAAAAAAGTTCTTTTTTTTGTTCCTTTGATAGTTTGATTTGGGGAGTTTGCCGCTTCTATTTTACGTGGCTAGCTTACAAAAGTTTGGTTTGGAGAGTTTGCGCTAACAATAAAATGATCTGTTATGTGTACAAAGGGCAAATGCAATACATACATTACTCTACGATACGTACTGTGCAAAAACATTGGACAGATTGATTTGATTATGTTCCGAGGAAATGGCCATTTGTCACAGTGTGTATTTACACGAAGGCATTTGTCAGGACCCAAGATATTAAGTTAAAGTTGATCATATTCCCAAATCAAAAGAAACGGAGAAAGCTTTATAGTGCAGCAAGAACCAGCAACATGCTAGTGGTTGTACAGTGCGTGTAGCTGTATGCCATGTCCACATCAAAATAAACACAAACATGTGAACATATCTGTAATGAAACAAGTTAGCCAGGCTATACCAACCCCTTCTTTAGAAAAAGTTGTAAAAAGTACACACCTCAAGCGACAGGATACAAATCGATTGAGTTTGCCTTGTAAATAGTACACAATTTCCTTGTAGTCTCGCCCCATGGCCAGTCTTAAAGGAGTCTTGTTATTACTGTCAACAGCATCTAACTCAACATCCTGGAGGAAAAAAATCTTTAAATTAAAAGGACGTACAATCTGTTGAGAAATAAAGAAGCAAAGCATGCTGTTTTTGTTGTGCTGCTGTTCGCAGGTTCTTCATGGCCAGAAATTGTGATATTCACTTCAAAAATGTGTTTGCATATAACAGTCCTTAAGACACGCAAATAAAAATGCACATTCAGCATGCAAAGAAAGTCATGTCCGAAAGCCCAGGAATAGTGGATTTTATCCTTTACGTGCCCAACAGGCAAGAAATCTTGCCCACTGGGCAAGCAAGAATGACTTTCCTGCTTGCACATTATAGTTTATTCGGCCCATTAACCTGACCCCCCTCCTGGGGATTATGGACAAAAGTTAAGAAAAAGTGAAGTGACATTATACAGTAGTTTATGCCATAGTTTATCCAGCTTGCCTGAATGGCAAGCCTGAAAATCTCAAGATTTTCCATGCATTCTGATATTGTCATTCTGTTACGCAGTGGAGTCAAAATCAAATTATAGCAAATGACAAACTTACAGTAGCACTTGACAGGCTTCCTGACGTTTACTTACAGTTAGCTACACTGCATGTTCTTTCAAGTGCTGGTTTGCTAGTTGCAAGAAAAGCTAACTTACATGATTAGATTTGCTTTATTGGCAGAGTAAAACTCCTATAATTACAGATTAAAGATGGCTTAATCTATTTAAATGCAAATGATCGAGACAATTAAAAAAACTAGTTAAGCCCATTGCACTGCAACAAAACCATGTACAGTCGAAACTCTTCACAACAGCCATCTTGGGGAGAGAGGAAAGAGTTTTCTTTGCGGAAGGGGGAAGGGGTTGCAACATCTCAACTTAACAGAAACAACTTGGTATGGATCAAGTTTGGTGACATTTTACAATAAAAAACAATGGGGTTTTGTATACTCCAGTCGTTGATTTAACTGGCTGTTGTCGAAAAGTTATTTTGGCAGTTGGGACAAGCTTTAGTGGCTGTTGCCACTGTAGAGAGGAGGCCATTGAAGAGAGGTTTAAATAAGGGTGAATGTATGGACCGTCTGCCAGGACTAAAAAAAGTGGCCATTGTAGAGAGGTGGCTGTTGGAGAGAGGTGACCGTTATAGAGAGGTGGCCATTAGTGGAGGTTTGAAGGTATCATCAATCAGTAACTATCAAAGCTGCTGCTACTGCAGCTTTCTACAGCCCACAATCTTAAAATTATCCAGGTATGTGACTTGTTTTTACAAACGGGTTAAAACCATTTCAGTCAAAACCTTACCAGACATTTTTTCCAATAGTAGTATATCCTAGAATTTGGACATCAAATCAAGAACTTAATTAATTTTATGTCAAATTTCTTCATTCTTGTTACATGTCTGCTTAAAGATCCTCAATCTTCATTATTTTTCCACACACCTTGCTTACAGGAGGGGGGAGGGGGGAGGGCTCTCTATTCCTCATAGTTAAAAAATAAGATGGTACATACAGTCTTTAAATACAGAGGATGAAGCTGATGCAAATAGTCAATGCCTACCATGTCTACAATGTGTTCAACGGTAACTAGGTCTCCACTGAGGCAGGCCAGATGAAGGGGAGTCTGAAATGACAAGCTTTTCAGTCAATTTCATTTTATAGTAAATTCACTACAAGTACACTTTGTATTCAATTATTGGACCCTGCTAATATGAATGTGGTTAATTTAAACTTCTTCTTTTTTTTATTTTGAACACAGACCCATTTGCCACATTAATTTTGCAAATTATGTGTCTACTCTATTGAGTTTCTACAGAAACATAGGAACAGTCATAAAAGTTTGGGAGAATTCAAAAAAGTGAAAGAAACACTTGCATGCAGCTCTTGATCACACAGCATTTCTTGTTCTCCTAAACTTCTACTCATATTTCCAGAACTCAGTGTCTAGAAACAGGAAAAATGTTTTCTATTTTCTATATAATACAATGCATGTGTTGAGAATGAAACAGAGTAGAATGTTACTAGATACCTGACCAAACCTATCTTTCTGCTTTGGATCAAAACCAGAATACAACAGTAATTGCACCACTTCACTATGACCTGCAAACAGAAATGCATGGTTTCCCAGTTATTATTTGGTCGAGTCAAATTTGTTTGGTAAAGCTTTGGTAAATTGCCAGTTACTGTCAGTGATAACAATTAATATCTTAAGGTCATTCCTCACATTTGCATCGCGCATCCTTACTGCGCATAATTTATGGCGTCATTAGCGCGCTCGTGCACGTGCATATTGAAAACATGACAGATTTGCCTTGGTATTGAACTCTGTCAGTTGAAAAATGGCTCTAGCTCTCACCAACGAGCAAGGGCACCCTAATTTTTTTTCCAGTCATTGTAATCAACTAATCATAAGCTTTGCGTGAGAAAAGACTGATCTAATGGAGCTTCCTAATAAAAGATTGTTACTACGACTAATTTCTATTGCTGATATTTGAATAAATAAGAAAAATAGCAGATACACTGTGGTCTTTTCTATTTTGCAGTCGGTAACCACGTCAAGAAATTTNTACGACTAATTTCTATTGCTGATATTTGAATAAATAAGAAAAATAGCAGATACACTGTGGTCTTTTCTATTTTGCAGTCGGTAACCACGTCAAGAAATTTTGTTCAAATTTTTTATCAAGGATTTAGCCTTCTGTCTGAATCAAACTTAAAATGTTTATTTGTGTCCGACACAGTGTATTGACTGTAGTTTAATGCGTGTTCTTAAGAGTCTGGGCTCACAAAGATTTTACAATTACTGGGAATGCGTTCTTGTAATAAGCATTAAATAACGCCAAAATGGGGCATTTTCAATACCTCACTGCTCCTTAATGAGCATGGGCACCCCCCTTTTTTATTTCAAAATTGAAGTTTTCATATGACAAATATTCAGTGGACAAAGTTTGAACAAAAATATCTTGTCACTTTTATTTCAGAGGAATTACCTTAAACCAAATCAATCTTTTCCCTGTATTACTTACATGGTAAAGGTAAAGTCTGTGATGGGACATGTGCCCCTATTGGCCATAGTTTATGGTGGTTTCCTTGGTATTTAAAGCAACTAGGAATATTTTTTTCCTATTCCTTCCCTGATGGGATGCTAGTCTAACCCAGGGTTAACCCCCAGCATTAAATTACTCATTTGTACACCTGGGTGAAGAGAGGCACTGCAAGAAGTAGGTGTCTTGTCCAAAAACATGACTCAATGAGCCCAGCCAGGTGAACCTAGCAGACTTCTAGACCTAGGATACAGTGTACTAACTAAATTGTATACATGTACATCACCATGCCTCTCTCTTACTTGTATGGTACTAAAGAAATAATGGAAGTCTTAACCCTATCACACTTTTCTGTAATAATTATTATAAAATCTTACACAGCTGGTCAATACTAGGACCTGGATTTCCCCATAAAGTCCATAGGCATTAATATGAGCAATGTTTGCCCAGTGTATAGCAGAAGACCCAGAACAGCTGAGCACTTTGCCCAGTTAACAAGACAAGATAGAGTTTACACTCCACTAAAAGAATTCTCAAGAAAGGTACATGTAGAAAGCAAAAGTTGTAAGTCAGTGTTCTCCTATTTTCTCATTCCCCACAAGTCCTACATGCACGTGTACATGCACTTGCCTTCTTTTTATGCTAATATATTATTCCACTTGTTTTATTATCTCTAATGAAGCTTGGTCTTTCAGCCTCCCAGAGCGCAAACAGTATCCAACACATAGTTCGTTACTATCAAGTAAGAGTCAGCTTCTGACTAATTTCACTGACATTCTGATCCCCGGAGGCCATGATCCTTTTGGTCAGCAACAGAAACCACAACCTTTGGTCGGACCAGATTCTTTGAGCATACACAGAGTACTTGTATTTGTATTCTCAGTCAATCAGATTTGTCAGATTTAAGAGAAGTCTGAGAATCGCAGACTTCTGCTGTTGGACCGGCCCAGATTCAGAGGTTGTGATTCTTCGTGCTGACGAGAAGGACTGCAGCTTCTGGGGATGAGAGTGACTTCACTGGTTGACAAAAAGATTTTCAGTGACTGAAATTTCACTGGGAAGTAAATGACTCAGGGTAACTTTACGGTGCAAAGACCAGAAAAGCCAGCTGTGCTTGTCAATGAACCATCTTAGATTTTTCTCTGCAGCATCCCTGTATTTATATTTATTATTATTACCTTTAAAACATGCCCAGTGTAGAGCTGAGTCCCCTTCATGATCTGTGAGAAATGTCTTTGCTCCCTTGCCTATAAGGTATCCAGCCAACATTGCTTTTCCATATTGTGCGGTAATAATTAAAGGAGTACAACCTTTGTTGTCTGTACAGTTTATAGAGGCTCCATTTTGAATGAGAAGATCCACGCATAAAATATGACCATTAACACATGCCCAGTGGATTGGATAAGGTCCATAATCAGATCGACTTTGTTCATTTATTTCGACCCCACAGTTTATAAAGAACTTTATCACATCGCTGTAACCACCTAAGGCTGCCCAGTGCAAAGGAGTGTGTCCATGACTGTCATAGGTTCTGAGGATTTTCACGCCATGCTGGCCGACAAGTTCCCTGCACATGCTGGTATCTCTATACATGTACAAAGGAAAATATTATATAATAAGGCAAATTATTCTTGCATTTTGTTTGGTTCTAACCTATGACCTATTGGAGGACAGACATATAGATAATGTTATTAATATTTTTTTGTTTCTTTCTTGCATAGATTCCACGCTGCCATACATCTACAGGTTCAGTAATGATCCCAGAAGACATCAAAATGTGGAAAGAACTTCTGTGACACACTCACATAATGGCTTGTCTGCCAATTTTTTTCTACTTACTGTAACACATTTTGACATCATCTGTGATCTATTATTGAACAGACAGACAGCAACATGGAATCTGCTTGTTAATTATTATATGAGCTTGGTTGCCAAGATTCGATAAACAAACTTATATGTTAGAATCAGGGATAACGTTCCCTATAAATGCAGTATTCATGCATTTTTTATGTAAATACTTCTAAAAATGCTGTGCATCATGAACATTCCAGTACATCCCCAAGAAAAATAGTTCTCTTTGTGAAAAAGATACTGCAGAAGCCAAGAAGACCATTGCATTTAATCCAACAGTTAAAATTTATGGTTAGCTTTTCACCACAGCTTTACACAGTCCTTTTGAATACCACCAGTCCAGGAAAAGTCCTTCATTTTTGGAGACACAACATACATGTAAAGGTGTTTTAAAACAATTTGAAGTAAAAGCTAACGGTAAAAGCGACGTCTCAACTGAAATTCAGTCATTATCAAGCTTAAATGTGAAGATAAAAAAGTTTGCATAAGTATATTAAATATAAAACAAAGAAGTAAAAGTATGTTAAGTATGAAAATGTAAAAAGGGATGTTAAGAACAATAAAATGCATGCAAGAATAACATAATTAAAAATGGTTAAAAACTTTCGCATGTCACATTTGATAAAGATGTACTTGTTTATTAATTCAGGACCGAGGACAAGGTACACTCATGATGTTGGAAACACCAATGACAATAGAATTGAGAAAAAGATCTACATGTAACAATGCCAGATATTAACACAAGAGATAGTTTGGGTGAATTCAAACAGTTAAGGTCATTACCCAGTATTGCATTGCGCATCCATACTGCGCATAATTTCACGTGTGATTAGCCCGCGCGCATTAAAAAATGGTGACTTTTTCTTTAAAGCTGGACCTCGCCATTGAGGTAAATCGTCATTTTCTCACAAAGGAGTATGGTGACCTATCATTTTTTTCTGTTGTTTTCAATTGAGTAATAAATTTCTCTGTGTAAAATAAATATGGACCAATTCTCAGTGAAGAACAAAAAGCAATCGTCGGAAACGTGAATTTAGCAAGCAATAGCAACTACAATCATGGTGCTATTATAAGGATTTCTATGGGTATAAACACGGTGCTTTTGCTCCTAAACGAACATGGGGACCCCTCATTTTTATTTCAAAATTTAAGTTCCTATAATATAAACAATCCACAGGCAAAGTTTCACAAAAATCTCAGTGCAGGTTCTATTTCAGCGGAATGACCTTAAATGAGCCAAGAGCTGCAGACTAGGATTTATTTTAATTAGTTTCTGGTTTTCTCAAACATTTCCAAACATTTCCCACCGCTGCCACGATGTAAAGACAACGAGTACTTTTAAAAAGTAAAAGGCGACGTTTATTGTTCAGCAAGCAGTATGCAAATGAATACATGTGCCAATGTGGCTAGCAAAAATGTAGAAACTATTTCCTACAATACAAGATACAAACACGAACTACACGTTGGTGAGTTCTTGTGGTTTCAAGGTAAACCACAATAGTTTTGTCACACTCAAGTGTTAGCATCAGGCTTTTTATGTACCAGTCAATTTCAAAGTTCAATATCTCCTTCCAGCCCTGGGTAACTCCTCACACATTTGGCATTTAGAATTTTTGTTTGGCTAAATTTCCATCCCCAGGGTCAAAAATGGTGGTCAAATGTCCCAACTTATCATGATTAACTTTTCAGGTGGAAACATTTTACTTACCTTCAAACACAGTAAAAGCTTTTGAGGGTCTCTTTTTGAGCCACAACATTGCAAAGAGCTGTGGTGTCTCTCTGACTGCTAGCCTGACCTTGACTTCAAGGCAAATGTTCTCCCCTTACCATAAGGTGTCAAATGCCCCACCCCAATAACAACCTCTGACGTCAAATTCCCGCCTCCCAGGGAACAAGAAATTGTGAAATGCCCAGCAAATGCTTGGCAGGGCATGGGGAGGGGGAGGGGAGGAGTTGATGTCTCCTACACGACCAAGAGAGAAATACTACTACTTTTTGTACAAGAAATGCAATGATAAGTAATCAACATTGTTTCAAAGCCTGTGTCACAATCAGAGTGCATGCTGTATGAACAAAATTTTACAATGGTGTACTGCGTCTGTACGTAAGTTAGAGTAGCAGGTGTTTGAAAGTCAAGAAAATTGAATATTTTATACCAGACTTAAGTTATAATTCGTATACTTTTAAAAATTCACTTTAAAACGCAGTTACAATGTCTTGATCTATCATTTCCAAGTATTAGTTATTCAGCATGTAAGATAAGAACGTGATAAACCAACACGTGAGACTGTAAACAAGTGAAGTAAACAGTCGAACCGACAGCTGTACAGTGTTAAGCTCACTTTACAAACACACGCTCTACAGTCCGTCACCCTGTTGTATACGAAGAATGGTTTGGTTCTTAACTAACGCATTTTAACCTGTTTAACTTCACACCTCATTAAAAATATGGACAAATTCTGAGGTCCCAAAGGTGAGCTTATTTTAACTCTACGAGAAAACGCTTATTAGTTTTATGCGAGCATCAAAAAGACATTTTTAAAAGTCAGATTTCTAGGTCATTGTCATAATGACGAACCGTAAGTTCAACAACTGCTTCTCTCACACTTACCCACATTGTACAGCCTCAAAGATATCAATCTCCTTGCATTTATCGTGGTTTATTGCTATCGATTCCTTGTTATCGCCGGCCATCTTGAATTATGGCACGAGGGCCGGGCACGAGGGTGAACTACGAAAAACAAAATGTTCGGAGATCTTCGGAAGTATCTCGCGCCTTTCCGAAGTTGAGCCAAAATCCAGGATTCACGTGATTTCGAAGTGTTTCCTCGAAAAACATGGCGGAACAGCGCGATGTGGTCCATCTAAACCGCCTAAAATGTTTCAACGATGCTGTATTTGCCATAGTCTCGACAATTTTGATCCTCCCAATTCGGAGACTGGAGGAAAACTCTACTGTTAACCTTAAAACTGAGCTCAACAATCGACTGGTTCAGCTTGTGGTGTATTTTATGTCATTCCTTGTCATTTGCTCCGTCTGGAAATCTCACGTGCACCGATTTAAGATTCTTGCACACGTAGACGATGTCCTAGTTTGGTTGAACCTCATTTCGCTCATGTTCACCTCATTTTTACCGTTCGCGTGTGCACTGGAGGGAAAATACCCGAAGAAGTACCTTCCTCTCGTGTTAATTTGCTGCGACATGTTTATCCTGGAACTGCTCGAAGTAGCCATAATCTTGTATTCGTTTCATCGGGATTACCTCCTCATAGAGGAATTGCAGGAGCTGCCGAAAGAGCAGCAGAGAGAACGAAGAGACTATATGCTGGCGAAAAAACTGCTCAACCCATTGCTGTATATCCTGGCTGCATCTGTAAGTCACGCGAGTCCGACCACTTCCTGGGTCCTGCTCTCCATCGTTATCATCACTCCGTGCATACATCGTTTTATTGGCTTTCTCTTTCGAAAGTGCAAGGCGATTCGTGTCGCTGGAGCTGATTTTGACCTGATGTTTGGCAATTACATCGACACGGAGAGAGTGGAATGTTTCAGTGATGGTGTCTTCTCCATAGTCGCAACCCTACTTGTGTTGGACATAACAACCGAGAACTTCCCCAAGAATTCTGATGTCAAGGAAAATGGGATTGATAAAACTGTTCTGAAAATGTGGCCCAAGTTCCTAGTTTACGCTGCAAACTTCATCATCATTGCACTACTGTGGTTCATTCACCATTCCCTCTTTCACTGTATCAAAACAATGAATCAACTGATGTTGGTATTCAACAACATTTCTTTGGCTTTCATTGGTTTCTTCCCTTTCCTCATCGCCATTTTAAACAGATATGCTGACAGCCCAGATACTGTCAATGACAGCACAAAGCTCGCTGTCCAGTGTGGTTCTGTGGCTATAGCCATGGCAGGTTTGTCTCAAGCATTCGTGTTTGTAATCGCATTGTGGAAAGGTCCCAGCCATCTTGAAACCAAGGTTAACCCAGCCGTTTCAAAAACCAGTCACTGCTACCTGGCCCTGAAACTCACTGTTATACCTCTTATCAGCCTTATGGTGTATTACACCACTCTGAGCCACAGTAACTGGGCAGTATATATAACTTATCATGCTGCTGTATTTGTGACCCCATTTTTGTTTCTAGCACTTAAACTAAATTTCGGCCGACGAGAGGTTGGTGTCATGAGGCATGACATTGCTATTGATCCAGATGTGGAGACTTGGATTCCTCCACCACACAGGAGCAGATTGAGGATACAAAAGAAAGGTGTAGGTGACAGTAGTTTATCGGATTCATTAGCAGTTTAATGATGTTGTTGCGTCATGCATTTATAAGGTGTACAACAAAGTTACAAAACTACAGCAAGTATAAATCCTTACTGGAGAAAACCTCATTCTATTCCCATTTAGCAGTTTAACATTTGTTGCCGGGGGCTACTCCCAGAAAAATTGGGTGGGGGTGTACGGCCCACTTCCCAAAACTTACAGGTATGACCTGACCAAAAGTTTGATACCCTGTTTAAGACCTGACCCTTCTAATGTTAAAGGAAATGTTTATATGCTTTTATTAGGTAGGATAGCTTTGCCTAAAAATCACAGTCCCAATTTAAGACAAGAGTATAAAAACAATACCTGATTTGAGACCAAAATGGCCAAAATTGATACCCTATTTCTGACCCAAAGGGCTAAAAGACCATACCCTTTGGGGCCGTACATATCTATATAGCCCAATAAAGGAGTATACCCCCCAAGCATTGTTGTGGTAAGTTTTTAAAACTACAGTATGCACAAAGCTCTCCTTCTCCCTTATCCCCAACCCTTATGCTACACCCTACATCTTAGGCTCAATGCTCACTTGCTGCCTAACGGCAGCCTAAGCACTGTGGCCTGGCACAAACACACTGCTGAGGTGTCAACAGGGCTGTCATTACGTTTTGAGTCACCTGTTGCCTTGTTCTCTACACCTGCAGTAAACTTGTTACTTTGTGGGTGAATTCTTTCAACAGCAGACATTTTAACCCTTAGCATCAAGGGAAAATCAAGCATTCTCAGCCATAACAGGTGTTATGGCACTTAATGACAGCCCTGGTCAAGACTTCTGGTACTGAGCACCAGAACCCTTTAACCATGTTACTTTTTTTAAAAATCATCCGTTTGTGGCAGTGTGGCTCATGCCTTTTCTGACTAGTAACCCATACCGGTCACAGAAACTATGTTTATAAACTATTGTTATGACGATACAGTACAGAGTACTGATCAACCCTCGAGTATATAAGCACTTTGATCCAAAATTTGGCATAGACTCCTGGAAACCCATATTCACACTGATATCTAAATGATTCCTGGTACTGCCTCTCTTCACACCAAGTGTGAAATGCTGCTGTAAATGAAAATAGGCCTTATCACGGTTTTCGACCACCATTGAACATCAATGCCATTGTTTTATATACTTTTGTATATTTTACACAATTTGCAGAATCTGTAATGTACTTTTAAGTGTTGAAATGGGGATTCTGTATGTAAACCAAAGCTGAACATGCAAGACAATTTGAACAGAATATGATTAAGTGTAAACTCATTAAACGTAGCACGTATAGGTTACATTAATAACATGCTCTTTAGCTTTAAAATTTAGAAAACAACTTTAGTTAGAAATGGAAAGATTTAGACATTCATTGCCTCTCTTCAGGTCAAACATGGGGTGACAAATAGATTTGGTTACTGGTTATTCTAATGTAAATTTACCCCAACCCTCAGGGATGAGAGGGAGGGGAGACTCTAGAACATTTTTTACTGGGAGGCTCCACTCCAAAGTCCAACCCTTTACCCTTTTTGTACCGTTTTGACAGAAAAGCTACCCGTTTTGTATACCTTTTATTGAAAAAAGGTACCCCTGTTACATATCTACTTAAGAACACTGCATCCTTTTCTACACCCTTTGAAGGAAGTCAATGAACAATATTACAGGAGAACATCAAGCACCACCAGAAGAGATGTTTTAACGAAAAATCAAGTACTATTTGCTTAGTTCATGTTATGGGGGGAGTTGATACTCTGATTTCTCGATTTCCCGATTTCCTGATTTCCCGATTTCCCTTCCCTTTCATATACCTCAACTTGTGAAATCCCTACCTTTTTACAGTGTATATACCTGAACCCTGAGAAAGGTACCCCTTTCCGTCAGAGCCTCCCCATTAGAGGGTACCCCCCCCCACCCAAAAGAGCATTAGTGTGAATTAGCAATTTTTGTAGATACTGATTTAAGAGGTCTATTGCAATGTCTTGCGCATGAGTAGTGATACGATTTTTGAATGGATGGTCCAATTTTACAAGTTATCCCCAGCAGCACATGGCAATGAGTCATACAATTTCTATTGTTTAAAAACCTTCCAGTGTCAATCAAAGTCGTTCATGTGCATTCACATTATGTTGACACAGGTACCTTTAAGTACTGTAATTAACAAAAAAAACAAAACCTTCACTGTAGAGTTTGTTTTGCTTAGAAAGCTACTAGTTAGGATGAAAAGTAAAGATTATTTTTTTCACTTCATGTACAAAATCGTCAAAAATCATTACAAAAAATTGCCTTTGAGAGTTAAACTTTGTTGAAAGAAAGTTTAAAGTAAAGTTAATAGGAAAAGCTTCATTAGGTATATATTTTTGTTTCAAAGTGAGAACTATGTTTGTTAGAGAAAGTTTACAATTTATATTAAAGTGAAAAGAAAAGTAGATATATTTGTTATATCAAGTAACATTTTTCAATTTAGTAACGTTCCCAATAAATGTGTTTTAACTTTTAACACTACTTCTGGAGTTGTGTGTCGTCAGTGGATATTAACTTGCTGTTACCTGATCTGTTGATAATAATTTGAAAGGTTCATTGGTCACTACCAGAAGCATATCACCTCAACAAGGTGATATGCGTCTGTCAGTACTTACTATAGAAAAATTATAAAAGGTACCTAGGAAAAGACTTTGGATTTCTTCAGACAAGGGTTAACTTGATCTTGAACTCAGTTCTCCTTCAGCCAAGGGTCAAACAGAGGGAGATTCTGGATATGAAATTAGCCAAGGGTAAGTGAAACAAACCTCTTGCACATTTCAAGCACCTTTTCCACACAGTGTTTTTTTTCTTTGTTTTTGTTTTGTTTTGTTTTGCTTCTTTCCAGAGAACTTGGTTGAATGTATTTGTTACTGAAATCATTGGAAAACACTTCATTTACTACTGAATGCGTCTGTTGTTTCTATCTTATTTCAAAACCCCAGGACCTTTCACACAGTTTCAGGTGTGGGCACACGAAATTACAGGCACATCAAAGTCGCTATGAATTATATGTTTTAGTTGGAGTTTCAAGTTATCCAAGACCACTGAATAAAAAGAGTAAAGACTCATCTGTTGGTACAGTGTTAGTCTCAATCTGAAGTTAAAGTGTATATGACATGAAAACTAATTTCTGCTTACTAGAAAGGCCTTTCAAAATACAAAAAAAATGGCGTTTTTCTTTTTGAAATGTCTTTTTTCGTTTTAGAGATATTGACGTTTTTCTATTATGTAAATTAAATTAGTGATGACGTCACAAGGTTTGCAACTGATAAGGGGTGTTATAAGGAATAAACGATATCTCTGGAAATATTGAAGCAGTGTTCTTGAAACTTGGCACCACAAATGTGCATCACAAAAGAAACAAAATGACACCCTTAGTGCTGTTGCCATGACAACAGTTGCCGCTGGTGCTGTCTTAATAAAAACTGAAATTCCCAGTTTTTTTCTCAAGTAAGTTCCATCTACCCCACCCAATCTAATGATGGGAGTTAAGACAACATGGGAACTATGTCTGTTCCAAGTAGGACCCTTTGTCTCACTTTAGAGGTTGCAACTGGAGATATTTGGTTTTTTGACAGAAAGAGACTGGAGCCGAAAGAGTTGCCATGGCAACAGCACTAAGGGTACTATATCTCTAAGGGCCAGTATCTAAGGGTCAATATCTCTAAGGGCCTGTTTACAAGGAGGGTGGGTTACCAAGCGGGTAAACCCTAGCTGAAGGGCTAAAGATAGCCCGAGTTTACAAGCAAAATTTCACAGGTAGGGTAACCCTACAACCCAGGACAACTTAATGTGCAAAGGATCTGGAAACAAGTAGAAAGTTAACCCGGGAAGGCGGGTTAACCCTACCTGGTGTGTTAACAAGGGAAAAAGTTAACCCGCCTGCCGGGGTAAACCTAGCACGCAGATAAGGTAACCCGCCAACTCGGGTAACGCTGCCTTGTAAACATGACGAAGAAAAAAAGAGGAAATGTGTGAGTGCTAGAGTAACCCGCTTGCTAGGATAACTCGCTTACCAGGGTAACCCTCTCTCCTTGTAAACAGGCTCTTAAAACGAAAAAAGATATTTCAAATAGAAAAACGCCATTCTTTTATATTTTAAAAGGCCTTTCAAATAAGCAGAAATTATTTTTCACGTCATATACACTTTAATTATTAACAAAATACGGGCACGAAAGATGAAACAATACAGTTTGCAAATATTTTACTTCAGATCGAAACTAACTTGTATAGAAGCGTCTTTAGTCTTTTCGATCAGCGGTCTCGGTTGCCAACTGGATGGTTCGCAAGTAACCTCGTCCCCAGGGCCTTCACCTCGACGATTTTCAAAATAGTGGCTCGTCGGAAGAAGACCCTGTCACAGGCTGGGTCACGTGGTACAAAATCTCCAAAAAATCTTGGAGATTTTTGTCACGTGACATTTTGAGAAGACCAAAACAAAATGGCAGCCAAAATTGTGTTCGAAATTTAGCCGCCATTTTGAAAATCGTCGAGGAGAAGGCCCTGGAGATGAGGTTGGGTTCGTAAGTAGCCGCTAAAAGTTCAGTTTTTTACTCAGTTTCGGTTCAGTTTTCCTGATCGAAGGTTTTTTTCGAGGTTCGCTGCACAACAATGAAAGACAAAAATTCAATCCAGTGCATTGAAGGCTAGAGTTATGATTAATATAGCTAAGACTGCATTTATGAAATCACTCATATACACTTTGATTTTAGGACTCCAAAATACCTAAAATTACTGAAGACAAGCAATAAACTGCAAGGCTGATACTACGTGAAAAACGTTTCGAGACACCAACATGACAAGAACCGATAAAGTAGGATCGTAACAGTGGACNTGTCTTCATACATTTTTTGGCTGATCAGATCTCTTGTAGATCCTACGTTGGCAGCGTTTATCGTATGCGGTCCCTTGCAGTTTATGGTTTCTGAAATTACTCTACGCGATGGAAAAAAAGGAGAGTGAAGAGCAAGAAAAGGAAGATAAGAGAGTGGAGGAAAAAAAGATTGACATTCCTTATCCGTATGATTGCGTGATGTGATGGAGGATCTTGTCACGAGACTTCCCGGAAAGGCGAAGGTTGAAAAGCGGAGCTTTCAATATTAAAACCATAGTTTTCAGTTTTGCAACTGACAGTAAGCGCCATGGCAGAGGAAGTAGATCTGTTTCATCTGAAGCGTTTGCAATGTTTCAACGACGCCGTGTTCGCCATAGTAGCGACCATTTTAGTTCTGCCTTTACGAAAACTGGAGGAGACAGCAGTAGGAAGTAGCAGTCTGGAAGATCAGTTGAACGACAAGTGGCCTCAGTTACTTATCTATCTGGTCGGATTTCTTGTGATTTGCGCCGTGTGGGAATCGCATGTTCTTCGCTTTCGAATCTTGTCCCGAGTTGATGATGTTCTAGTCTGGTTCAACCTCGGGTCTCTACTGTTCACTTCGTTCCTCCCTTTCACGTGCGCTCTCGAGGGCATGTTCACAAAGAAGTATCTACCAATGATGCTGATCTGTGGAAATCTACTAATTCTTGAAGTCTTGGAAGTCATCATGATAGTGTACGCCTTTCATCAACCACGTCTGCTCGACCGTGAATTTGAGAATCTCTCCCATCAGGAGATAAAACAGAGAATGAAGCTCATGCTGGTGAAAAAAGCCGTCAATCCCATCCTGTATGTTTTAGCTGGTGCTCTTAGCTTGGCGAAGATCCAACTCGCTCTGGTGGTTGTGGCAATTGTCGTGATTTCCCCGTGCATCAATCGTCTTGTGGGAGTTATTTATCGCAAGTTCACGCGCGTTTACCTAACCGGGTCGGAGTTTGATCGCATGTTTGGAAATTTCATCGACAAGGAAAGAGTGGAGTTTTTCAGCGATGGACTTTTCGCGATTGTTTCTACGCTGTTAATCCTGGATATTACTTCTGAAGATTTTCCCACAAAAGCGGAAGTTGATCATAACGGCATTCAAAAAACGTTGCTGCACATGGAGTCTGAAATTTTCACTTACGGCGCCACATTCGTGGTGGTTGCGCTTTTGTGGTTCACGCACCACTCCCTATTCCACTACATCGAGAGGCTGAATCAAGTCATGCTGGTCTGTAACAACATCTCCTTAGCTTTTGTGGGCCTGTCACCCTTGATCAACGTCACACTGAACCGCTACGCTGGGCACGGCAAACCAGACAGCCGCCTTGCAGTCCAAGTGGGAGCCATTATCGTCTTCATGGCAAGTATCACTCAAGGAGTAGTGTTCATAATCGCGCTTTGCAAAGGTCCCAATTACCTGGAGTCGCGCGCGGATCCTCGCGTGGCGTCTCGAACACACTCGTACCTCGCGTTGAAGCTTGCGATAATTCCACTGATGACCTTCCTGGTGTACATTGCAGCTACTGTGTGCCCAAACGCTTCTCTTTCAGATGATGTATACCACATTGCTGCTGGATTGACTCCTGTAATATTCATCCTGATGAAGCTTGTGTTCTCCTGCTACTGGGACCGCTGTCACTGCAGGCGGCAGGCGGCGCTAAGTAACCAAGAGATCGAGTCAGAATTTCATAGCATTGCTGAAAATCAGTAACTGAAGACTGGATCACGGATCACTACGTGGACTTGAATGATGGGAACTTTGCACTTTGCGACCTTGATACGAAGGAAAATTTGTGTTTAATAGTAATCTTCGTATATTTTATGGAGTCATTTTCGTTAAACTGATCAATTCCTGGCTTCGACAATCCTTCAATTTCCAAGCGTATTCAATCGTCATTCAATAATACACATATAGAGGATATTACACGGTGGCGAGAAGATATGAATTTTATGTTCTCGTGGCAAGAACAATACCTCACGAGTGAGCGAAGCTCACTCGTGAGATATTGTTCTTGCCACGAGAACATAAAATTCATATCTTCGAGCCAACGTGTAATGTTCTTTTTATTATANATACGCCACTCGGGTCCCGGATGAAGTGGCGTATGGAATCTACGAGTGGTTTAGTTCCCAGTAAAACACTCTTCTCCATATAATAAAAGAGGATATTACATGCCCGCGCGTGGATACGAATTTTATCTTCGAGTGTTCAACTCGATATCTCACGAGTGAGCGCAGCGAACGCTTCCGAACATTTTCCGAACATTTCTGAACATTTTCCGAAGATTAACGAAGATTGCCGAAGACTACCGAAGATCTGAAGATGTTTCGATCATACATCAACAAATTTAAGTATAGTTAAAGGGACAAAAGAAAAATGTCATCAAAAAGGAATGATATCTTCACAGTGTGAAAGATAAAAATAGTAGCTTCACTGCTTGCGATGAAGATATGATTTTCTAGTAAAAGGAAAAATCCTGGTACTTCACTGGTGTTTATATAATAAATGTAAAATACATACTAATTTGCCCTCTGAACATCCCATAATAGCTACTTGAAATAACAGAATTCAAAATGGCCGGCTTACCGCCGAAAATGGCTATTATAAAGATCAGACATCCAAACACCGTCACGGTCATGAATGTGATGAATTATTGATGATTTCCTCCATTTCATAAAAGTAATTCAAGGCCCCGTCCACATTACGCCGGAGGAATTTGACAACGAAGCTTTACTTCTCCGGCTAGGCCTTCCGTCTGCACTAATCCGTCAAGAAAACGGAGCTTTTCGAAAACGCTCTTCAAACCGGAGGAATTTGAAAACGCCTCCTTTGCGCTCTAGTGTGGACGGAAAACATTTTGAAAACGAAGCTTTTTGAAAACTATGACGTCACGATGATCATGTGACTTCCCTGACCTAGTTTTCCTCAAACACAAATCCAAAATGACCGGTGATTGTTGCGTTTTTAAATTTCTCCGGCGTAATGTGGACGGAAAACATTCAATGCATTTTCAGAGTGAAACTTCCGTTTCCAAATTGCTCCGGCGTAATATGAACGGGGCCTAAATAAATAAATCGCAACTACATTTCTAACATTCAAACAATTGTTTATTGAAGACTTTTCATTTTCATAATAATATCTCGAATAAATCTTACTTTGCCTCGTATCTAGAATTCTCGATAGTAGGTATATCAGTCCGACTGGTGCAAACTCGATAGCATAAATATCGAATTTCTTTGGAAGTCCTTTAGAAAAGGAGCTAAATATTTGACTTTGAAAATAATTCATTAAAAACCTTAGCTAATCTTCCTTTAACTATAAATATTGAAAAATACGTTTAGTGTATTGGAAAACGTCGCTGTACAATTACACAGTATCTACAAGATAGACTTCTATACTTTATACATATTATGTCTTGTGTTTTTACTTTAACGAGAAGACACTTGAAAGAAATACCAAGAATGTATCTCTCAGACTCTGCTGACCTCTGAATAGTTATTTACAAGGAAACTTTACAACGCCGAGAACAGGAATGTTTATAACTTGTTGCTTTGAAAGAAACAAAAACAGAAAGGAGTCCACTTTGAACAAGACTCATTTTCATGTGAAATAACACGTGACCCTTGGAACAGTCCATCCGGGTACCTGGTTGCTATTTCATTTCCGCACACTGCTTCTTACTGACTAACTCTTTCCTATGACATCACGCTGTCATTTGATTGGTCAAGAAACACCTACAACATTTTCCAACCATCAAAACAAAGCTTTCGATTTGGCCAATAAGAAACCATAATAGACTTAACGCGTTTGCCCAACGATGATATCTCGTCATTGGAACACTACTCCGTAGACAAAATCTTGTAAAACAAAGTGGCTCCGTCATATGTTAAAACAAGAAGTTCCGCTATAAAAGGACGACTCTTTTCGCATGTTTCGCGTACAGAATGTAAATTTGTGTCCTCATAGCCATGGAACTTTACGGGAGAATCTCATAAGATCAAAATACACCACCGTCTTCACTGAACATTATCACTCGTTTTAGTTCTACCGAACTAAGAAAACCGCAAGTTATTTCTTGGTGAGCGCAAGAACTGTCAGATGAGGACAGCCCCCATGTGTATCGGAACTTCTAGTTAAAATCTTAAGTTTGAATATAAACTGGAAGTTAAAAAAACTCTGTCTATTTACACACCAAATGAGCTTGTAAGTGCCGATAAGGATGGTACAAGTTTGCTGCGTTGAAATCAAACCTACAAATTGTTTACGATTGTAGTTCACAACACGAAAAAGAAACATAAGATTTTTAAACACTGAAACATACTTTAATACCCCTAGATAACCTAGCTTCACATCATAATGATGAAAATTATATGCGATTTTTGCGTGATGTAAGCAGCGGCTAAAGTTACACACAACAAACTTGTACCGTTTAAGTTAGCTTCAGAATGACCGAGTTCTGCTAACCTGTCACGCAATCTTTCGATTCCAACGAACACGATTGCGTGACAAAGCCAAAAAAAGAGTGCTCAATAGTTTTTTTCAATTTGTTGTTGTGGTTGCTGTTAGCGCGTTTGTTTGAATAAACATGCTATTTACATGAACATAGCTTGTCACTCCTTGATTCTACCTTTTTTGCCGAGGAATATTATTCAAAGTCCGTCCTATTACATTCCGTCACCCTCAACTGTACTGTTCTAAACTTTCTTACATCCCAAATGATATTTATAACGTTGTTGGATTTGGTAAATGAAGTTCTTGTTATTAATTAATATTGTACACTGATTTGGATCTCAATCGTCGATATACAAATTCTCTTGACTTTTCTCCATAAATTTCTTTGAGTAACGGTTTCTTTTAGTATTCTGATGACTAGTGCGCCATATTAGTATGAGTAATCAAATGCTGACGAGTGAAATTAGGAAATAATTTCACGGGCGTTTTGCCAAAATTCTAATAAATTCCCGAACCTTTCGGCCAGAGAAATTATTTGAATTTTGACAAGACCCAAGTGAAATTTTTACTTAATTTCACGAGTATACTATTTGATTACCATTCAATGTCATGGGTGACAAATTACACTCACAATCGTGGTTTTTAAATTGTTTAATGTACATAACGAGAAATATCGCGCCAAACGTTGCCATGGCAATTTTGTAATTTCACATGTGAAATTAGACATCAACGCTGAAAATTCGCGCCAAAATTAAGGAGCAATTTGTCACCCATGATATTATGATTTGACATTATGGAGAGATAAGATGGTAATACCTTTTGAGAATTCAGAAACTGCGTGAGTTTGATTTATGTTCGAGTGGCAGCAGTACCTAGAAACTTTTGTTTTATGAATAACGAAGACGACGCTTTTTGCAAAAATACCATTCTACGTTGAAAGTAAACTGAAATAATGATAATCTTGCTAATTCACGCTGACGACGGGAAGGCTTGTCTCGAACAAAGACAAACATTACAATGATTGTGAGACAAAACGTGACGCTTATCTAAGCTCAGCTTGCGTGAATTGCTGCGCAATAATTTCCTAATCAGAACTACGTTCAAGCCGGTTGTAGCCGCTGAATCCATCAGCACTCCTCTCATAGGAGAAAATTGTAAGACTTGACAATTTCCTCATAAGAATCGCTGAAGGACTGGGGATGAGTCATTCGCAGAGAAAGAGGAGTACTGGTTCGAGTATAAGAGAAGGCGGGGTGGTTGACGGGTGAAGACGCGAAAGACAGTTTTCACTGGCCTCTCGGTTCAAAGACCCACCCGAATTTAGGGATCATTAGCAAAAGAACAATGTCTACAGCAGATTAAACAATTCATGCATTACTATATCAAGTATCTATTTCCGCGTGAAAAATAGCCCGCTTAATACGCATGAAAAAAATCTATTTTATACTCCTGACACGTGCACGCTTGGCGCGAGCCTTTCGCGCGAGGATTCTTGCGTGGATCACGCAGGCTATTTTTCAGCGTACTTTGCTATTTTGCTTATGTTAGAATCTTTATCATCTATAGTTACATTAGTGCTGTTTTTACGTCAGAGAGGCCGACAGAATTTCACTGAAGGCACCTTCGAAGCAGTTCTTCAAATCGCGATACGACACCACTAACACAGACTGTTCATCTCGGGACACGAGACACACCTTCTCGGACGTGCCTGCTTCCAGCTAGAAAGTGAAAAACAACAAAGAAAAATAGTACATTACATTTTCAAACTCATTAATAATTCATCAAGGTTGAAGAAAGGAAATCACGACCTTGACGGTGTTTGGATATCTGATCTCAATTAGTATAGATTTTTACGATATTATTTCTCCGTTCTCTCCTTAGTTTTAGTTTCGATTGAGAAGATATATCAAACACTCAAGACAGTGTTTGACCACATTATCCGGCACCTCAAAGTTCACCAAAAATACTCCGCTAGGCGTCGTATTTTCAACTCTCTTCTCGGTGTTTCGAAATGTAGTCAAACGGTCTTTCGTGTTTGATATATTACTTTAAAACTGATCAACTGCGTGCTTCACCTTGTTTAGGCAGGCAACAATATGAGCTAGGTCTACCCATGGTGCTCCATTCTCCGTCACTTGATGGAACAGATAGTCCCTGAACAACTTCAGCAGATATCGGTCACCAGTCTCCGACCAACTTGGATCCATGCTGAACCTACAAAGGAGTGGCAACGAGTCAGAAGCCACCCGGTAGCATTCCTTAGCTAACAGTGTACACGTCTCAAAAAGTTTCAAATCTGTTTAGCAAATAACAAAACAAAAAGCTTAGCTACTCAGGTCGTTCGTTGATTGTTCCCATCTTGCAGAGGACTCTAAAAAGACGGCCATTTTCCATTTCCTAAATCAAAGGGAAAAAAACCTCAAATTTGCATTTGTTCACCTTTCAGAAATGATAAAAAGATCAGACATGACTATTACAAGGAATTTTTTGTATGTTTATTTTGAATAACACAATTGAAAAATGCTCAATTTTTTAGGCTTGCTAAAAATTACGTTTCCACGTTAGTCCGTTGAAACCCGAAGAGAGCGAGCAGTTTCCGAGGTCTTCCGAAGAGTTATCAACTTGAAGTTGATAAAGGTAGGTTAATCTGTGAAACTTTTCCGAAGATTACCCGAAGGCATCCGGAGTCTACCAAAGACCACCCAAAGATTGCCGAAAAATTTTCTAAGAGTTGTGTGGGGTAATAAGAATTACCTTGGCCAATTCACCCTCCAAAACATCGCACTTGACTTGGGCGGCGTCCAGTTGCGTGTAGAATCTGGCGCCAATCATCGGCATGATGTCATTCACACTCTTCATATGCGATGGGAGAGGACTGCTTAGAAGATAGCTAAAAAAAAATAAAATAAAAAAATAAAAAAAACAATAATAAAAAACAGAAAAAGATTGGTTAAAACTACACAAGAACGCAAATCAGTTTACAGTGACAGAAAGTACCGTAAAATTATTTTCTCCTTTCAAACTGCTTTCAAACTGCCATGGTGCCATTCCTCCTCTTCACGTGCGGTGGCCGAGGACTGCTGGCAAGAAAGGCCCCGTCCACGCAGGGGCGTAGCCAGGATTTTCCAAAGGGGGGTCACACTGTGTCAAAGTGAGGGTACTCACCAGATCGTCATGTCGTTTGCGCCACCTGTTGTTGATTGTTTGCTTAAAACAGGCTTACAAAAGGAGGGTCACGGGCACCCCAGGATCCTCTCTGGCTACGCCCTTGCCACGCTACACCGGGTGAATTTGAAAACCCATCAAGTGTTTTGCATTCACACTACGCCAAGAATACATGCAACTTACATGATAAGATTTTTAAGATCTGACGAGTAGTTCATAGCCATGTATTCCAGTGACTGCTGAATATGTTCTCGCTGAACGGCTTGGAGAGAATAACACGCCAAGGCAAGGATCAGCTTACCAAGCGAAGTGAGATCCTCTTGCTACAAGAGAAACGGTGAAAAACATAAACAACAAGAGAAACCTTAAGTCAGTGCTCTTGAACGAGACTGCTCAAAAGAGTTAGACATACATGGATTCCACTAAAGACTCAAACAAGGTAATGAGCCAATCAAAACTCGACGTAGTAACATGTGACCTGCAGCAAGCGCGGGAAAACTCACGCGTAAGCCAAGTCGCGATTGTTTCAGAAATACTCCTGATTGGCTGATGAGACGCCATGTTTGCTCTGATTGGATAGAGTAGGTCAATCGAGGTTTTTGAACCAATCAAGAGAGCTCAATGAATGAGAAACCTCAAAACAAACGCATAATACCAGCGACGGTAAATTGAAACCTTTTCTTATGCAACCTTTGACTTCAATTCAACCAATAGATTAAAAAACATCAACCCTTAACCGAAGCTATAAGTTTCTACCATACCGGCTAGTAGATTTACCTGAAAATGAGGAATCATAGCGTTTGGACTGTTACTGGCGTCGAAACTGAGAACATCAAATATACCACAGCCGTTTATTCTGAGTCTGTGAATAAAACCACAAAACAAAAGATATTCAGCGTGGTGCCATAGGCCCATAGTGGATCGGGGGGCATGACCACATCCAGGGAGAGAGACATTGCGAGGGGTAAGGTGTCTTCCCTGAGAACATGACACAGCAACCCCAGCTTGGGCTCCACTCGTCTTCCTCGTGAAACGGGTTTACAAACAAATGCTCACCTTGAGTTTCCAATTAATAAAATCTTGGAAGGATCGATCACTCTACAAGCCAAGCCAGATGCGTGTACCGTTCTCAGTGCCGAGGACAGCTGGATAATGTAGCTCCAGATCAATCTCTCGGGCATTGGACTTCGGTGCCCGCCAGGTCTGTGCCTGTTCGAGATTCCGCCGGCGCGGGGATTAGAGGGAAACAATAACGTACCATCGGGGCCCACAGCGAGAGTGGAATCAGGACCCGAGAAGTGCCTCATAAGAAGCGTTTCCGCTCCAGGATGATAGTCGTAAACAAAGACGAGCGCTGTGAGACGAAGAAGGCGAGGAAGATTCCCATTAGGTAACGTTGATCAAATTCTAGGGATGTACTGTAGTTGTGTTTGAGGCCCTCTCCACACTACGCCGGAGAAATTTGAAAACGGAGGTTTCACTCTGAAAACGCATCAAATGTTTTTCGTCCACACTACGCCGGCGAAATTTAAAACGCAACAATCACTGGTCATTTTGGATTTGTGTTTGAGGAAAACCCGGGCAGAGAAATCACATCAGAGATTGTCGTGACATCATGGTTTTCGAAAAGCTCCGTTTTCAAAATGTTTTCCGTCGACACTAAAACGCAAAGTCGGCGTTTTCAAATTCCTCCGGTTTGAAGAACGCTTTTGTAAAGCTCCGTTTTCGTGACGGATTAGTGTGGACGGTGAGCCTAACCGTAACCAAGTATGACATTTTAGTGTATGACAAAGCTGCGTTTTCAAATTTCTTCGGCGTAGTGTGGGACGGGGCCTGAGATAGAGTCAATGCTCATTGTTGGTTAATTTTTTCTTCCTTTGCGAATTTTTAATTTCAGTCGGTGTTACTCGCAAGACTAGAGGCAATGGTTGTAATAAAATAGAATTAACATTCTTGTTCTCTATCCAAGAAAAGCAAGAAGCTCAGAGGGAGAAAAGGAACATGACTTACAGTTGTCTCCAAATGATTTGGTCGTGAAAACCTCTCTAAGACTGACGAGGTTTGAGTGGCTGATTTTTTTCCACTGATCGACAAGAAACATGGATTTGGCATTCACAAGTCGAAAAGCTGAAAAACAAGAAAAAAAAAAAAAAACGGTGAAGAAAAAAAAGGCGAGAAAACAAACCGACTGATCGTGTTCATCACTGACCCAGTCCACTTACCGTGTATTCTTCGAAGTATGTAGACAAGACTATCTTTCGAATTTGTGGCTTTGTAACAAGTTGTCATATAACCGAATGTCCTTTGTGCCTAAAGGATAAGAAAACAGGAAATACATTACTTGCAAAAAAAATTCGGACGTTTTATTTTGGACGTTTAATTTTCGGACATTTTTCATCTCATTTCGGACAAATTTTGGACACTTTGCTGAAACATAGCTAAAGTAAATTTACGTCCACAAAACACAAGTTAGACTGAAACAGCATCTATGAAAATGATAGTTTTACTGCACCCTCATGGTTTTACAGATACACCGACGAGAAAATAACACATAATTATATGTTCTATCAAGTCATTACGTATCTGAAGGCGTGTATCAACTAGAGTTCCCTCTAAAGAAAACTAAGAGCTTTGGCGCTATTTAAAAGTTTAATACTGTACTGTGAATATTTCGGACGCTTAAAATTTCGAACGGTTCTCTTTTCGGACACTTTTTTTTGTTCGAAGTTAAAATCGTCCGAAAGTAAAATCGTCCAAAATTGTTTGCAAGTAATGTAAACGTTAGCGATTCGGAAAGAAAAAAAACTTAGCAGTGATAGTTAGTAATAGCAGGAAAGGACTTGCTGTTTATATCACGGTGTTTGGATGAAACGTTATCAAATTTCAAGTTTCAGAAGATGAGAGATTCCCATGCAAATTCCACTTTTTCAGAAGGCGCTACCATTTTTGAGATGCCCTATTGCGTGCAGGGACCAACAGTTTTCAATAGTATATATTATTCATTCCAGCCATTTCCTTTCAGGGCTCCTTATTATCAAGTATAAACTGGACAGTTTAAAAGTACTGTAGAGAGGAAAGTACGTGAACCAGGAATCGTATCACCTTCATGCAGTTTGAGATTCAGACCCAATTCAGGAAAAGTCTGCGATGCATTGTTTACAAATACCTGATCTGTTGGAGTGTCCAGTGGTTCTATGGGACATAAGCTGTGATAGCTATCTACTTCTTGTGGTACAGCTGAGGAAGTGATTCAAGACAAAATGAACTCCAGTTAATTTGCAGAAACATGTACAAGATAGCAGTTTTAAATCTCTCCAAGCCTACCTGTACTCTCATAAACCATGTTAAGGACTTGTTAAAACTTATTTTCCTGGCTCGCTTTCAATCATGCTGACAAACTCTGAGAGTGTAATGTAGTGAGAGACTTAAGAGATTAGAGCTGCTGTTTTAAACACAGGAGTGAGGAAGGGCCAAATGAACATGGTCGACTTCTTGCTTGAAAAAAATGGGGGTGGGTGTGTGTAGGAGGGGAGGGGAGGGGAAAAGAGTGTATTTGGTAAGGGGGTTAAAAATTTATGTCCCTTAGGCCCTTCAGTACATGTATTTCTCTGGTCTGTCGGTTTCGCAGTTTTCGTTGTTCGTCACTCATGCTTGGGGCTTCATCACTCAAAGATCGACTTGTGACAAGTCTATCTGTTTTCAAGAATGCAAATATCCTTACTTTGATTATCTGGGTCCAGCTGCGCCATACTCAGTGTATGTTGGTGGATAAGCTCCTAGGAAAAGAAAGAGCACGTACAATAAAAAGCACATCATATCTCAAAGTTATGTATAAATATTTATAACTCCTCATGACTGAACCTTTATACCTGTCGAATCTGAGCCGACATAGAGAACGCATTGTTACGTGTTTGACTGCTGTGGAGATGAGCAAGGTGAGAGGGTTCGGAAATGTATGCCTGGTACGAAGGAAACAGCTGGAAGAGAAAACATCATAGAAAATAAATAAATAGATGAATAAATAAATAAATAAATATCAAATTACACATATAAATGCATGAAATTGAAAGGAGCCTCAATCTGGCATGGGGATCCAGTCGGCAATTGAAGAATCACAGGTTTGTTTTGTTACTGGTATTTATCTACAGTTGTATTTGCATAAATTGTATCTTTCATTTACAAGTAAGGTCAATTTTCCTTTGAGGTTGAAAGGTAGACAATATAAGACAAGGTGAGTCACCTACAGGCAACCAGTTCTTAATATCTGGTCACCAATACTAGATTTTTGGTCACATTGGCAAACAGTGAGTCCTAATTTCAAAACCTGGGCCTGGATATTTTCTACAACACATTGCAAGTAGCTAAGACTAACTGAACATGAATCATAATGAGTGCTTTTTTCTTATCATGTGAACTTAAAACCTATTTTGCATTGCATAGCTTGACTCATGTACATGTTAAGAGTGGCTAAGAACTATTGATTCTGCTGAACATAGTAAATAAATTTATTGGATTGTTGTACCGAGACAATTTGTTTAATAATATGATGCGAAGCAATAAAAGGTGAATGCAGAGGACACTAAACTAATTTGTTTTCAATCTGTTAAACTGATGAAACTCTCACCACAGCAGGCTGTTGTTGTGCTTGTTGAGTGTAAAAGTAAGTTGTTCCACCAATAGATTCCATCTGCTGAGGAGCAGGGACCTGAGCTTGACTGTGCATTGGGACCTGGGGCAGACTCTGATTCTAAGAAGTATGTGAAAGAACCAGACAATGAGTGTAGACCTAACACTAAACACTTAAGACTAAACACTAAAGACTAAACATCGCAGTGACTACTATGCAGCTTGTCTTTGAACTAGCAAAAAAAAGCCTTTAGTTACATACAAAATATTACACAAAATGACTCCAGGGGCAATAATGTAATTAACAGACTCCAGGTGAAGATAAATGTTTAAGTAGCTGAAGTAAAAAAGACATGAAGTAGACATCAGTTCTGTAATTATAAACACATTCAACTGCATGGTTTGTCTTACATGTACATGTAAGTATACCTGTAAATCTTGTAAAAATTAATGTCTATTCAAGCTGAGAGAATTAAGCAGACATTTCTGGATGACAGGGCAAATTTTATATAGCTCTGAATTCTTCATCAGTTGAGCAGATTTCCTAATATATAGATTTCGGCCAGCCTAAAAGCATAGCTCCTGGGCCGGGTTGTTCAGAGCCAAATTAAGCTAACCCAGGAAAAGGTAGAATTTTGATTAGAGTTTTGTAACTTTGCGTTGAGGTTTTCTGTATATTGTTTAGCCTTCTGTTTTGAGTTTTAATAATCACTATATACACAAAACAAAGCAGCCAAAAACATTTGTATAGAAGAAAAAGTTATAATTCGGTTAACTTTTAATCCTGGGTTAGCGTTAATCCTGCCCTGTTTTCAACAAGTTAACCTGGCATGAGCCTGCAATCCAATCGAAAAACCAGCACTTGGTCAGTGGTCAACTGTAAAAAAACACTCGACCTCGATGAGCTTTAAACTTGAGCCCGCGATATGGTCACGTGATACTGGTCAGCGGATACCTTGTTTTGATAGGTGTCAATAGATCATAATTTGGATGTCCAATATCAAAGAAGTACACGGTAAACCAAGGCTGCATATCTCTGTCAACCTATTGCGCAACCTGTTGCGCGACTCTGTCGTCGTCATCGCCGTCGTGTGTACGCGTCCACGAGCAATACCGCTAGCCATGATAACCATGAGAAAATCAACTCATGGGTTTCCTTTTCTTTCCTATATGAGTATGGGGCTCCGCTTGGCGGCCCTTCAGACCGCCAGAGCTCCACTATTAATTAATGCTTTCTTTCTTGCTTAAATATAAATGAATCTGATGAAGATAGTTTTTTACATGAATAATTTTTATTAATTGTGAAGAAAAGTGGGATTCATTGAGTTTTCAGCTGGAAGGTAACTAGTTTTCACAGGCAGGCAAAATGTTTTCAAGAACTGGACATCTTTATATGAAAGACTTTTGTTTAGATGGCCAAAGCAGGCGGGCAAAAGTGTCCTCACAGCTAATCAATTTGCCTGACGTCCGGTCCTTAATGAAAAAGCTGAAATCACTTTTTAAACACTTCAAACTAAATCACTCACTGCAGCCGATGGAAGAAATTCAAATGCTTGTGACGTGACTGGGTTGTGTTGTGGTTTTGGGGATCCAAGAGACGGTTTGTTGGGAGAATGTAGAGGAGACACTGGTCCACCCGGAGCTAAGGATGATGCAAATGCCTTCTTTGAAGGTGAGAGAGGAGATGGATGCCCACCAAGAGATCCTGGAGGCATCTGTAAAACAAAGAAACAAAGGAATCCTTAAACATAGTGATACACATCGGAAGAAAACTCATGCCTAATACTTTGCTTTGACAAAGGGCTAAGGTTTGAAACATTACACAACGTAGCCTTTTGAATTTGCTTCCAAGAAGATTTATAAATCTTTATCAAACCAGTGATCAAGTGCTTCACTTGTCAGTCAAATCAGTAACAACAATAATTATTTCTTTTCATTTTTCTCATTTAATACCTAACAAGAGTTCTTGCCCAACAATATGTACATTGAAAATCAGTAGTAATGTACATGTATATTTGATTTTTGACCATCCAATAGTTAGTCCTCATGTTACATGTCACATGGCAGGGGTTTCATTAACGTTTTCAGCAAGAGGGCAACTGGTTTTCACAGGCGGGCAAAACTTTTTAAACTGAACTTCTTTATAAGAAAAACTTTATTCTAGATGGTCAGACCAGGTGGGCAAAATCTTCCTCACAGCCGGTCAATTTGCCCGGTGCCTGGCAGTAGCAGATCCAGACTTTGAGCTAAGGGGGGGAGGGGTCCAGTTTTGTTTTACTTGCCCTGCCGGCTTTTCTTCCTTCAGTCATTTCTTCTTTTTTCACCCAAAATAAGGGGGGCCCGCTCCCCTAGATCCACCACTGCCTGGCCCTTAATAAAACTCCTGCCATGGTACACTGTAAGACCTCCAAAGCCAACACTTTCTGATTGGATGATTGAGAAAACAAATTCAACAACATTTAAAATTGCCAAATAACACAATGGCAGTTCCTCACACAGTGAAAAGACTTAAAGAATTGAGGGAGTAGAAGAAGGGATTGTTAGTGGGGCCACTTGTAAAGAGGGATGGTGGGGGGTTCTGAAGGTTCAGGTATTCTTTATAGAGCAGAGCCACACCATACATACCTTATTTGTGGATATTGATATCTGTGCCATATTACTGACATAGTTATCAGAAACAGTGGTATTACTCTTGAAACCTCCACCTCTGAGCCCTTTTGGCCCAAGGGGGCCATTATTAATGGGTGGGGCATTATTGATAGGAGGACCATTATTGATAGGTGGTCCATTGGCAGGTGAGGGGAACACTGGTGTGGATGAGCTCCGATGAAATGAGTTCACACTGTTTGGAGCCCCAATAGTGAAGCTCTTATCTCCAGCTATGAGAAAGAAAAATAGGTAAGATTCATTGTAAGCTTATCTGCTGACTGGGAGGGCCAGATATATGGGTTATTGACTAAGCGTGAGGTCAAGATGACTGAATATTGGCCAAGTTCTTTATATGTGTGACTATGGACCGAGACAGAGCTGAGGTCCATGAACTTGTAAAAAAGAGCAAAGCCAATATCCAGTCGTCTTGAGCAAACAAGCTTGGTCAATAAATGAGTTATTATATCACTTTCGGGTAAATATATCTTGCGGGACACGACAGGTAGGCTCTTATAAGCAGGCAAGATAGCTCCATCTTGCCCACTCAGCTAGCCAATCGCAGTGTAAGATTTGGTTCATCTTGCCCCCGCACAGAGCTAGCCATATATCAAAGAAAAATATTTAGCTTGAGGTCATGTTGCATATGCAGAATGTCCATGTTCACGAATGACAGAGAGCCATATATTTTATCTATGTTATCACATATGTACAATCTAAGTATTAAGATTTATTTCAATTGTGGAAAGTTAAGCCTGGTTTTCACTAGCGATGCAAACACAAGCGCAAGGCCAAACACAAACGCAAGCAATAGGGATGACCAAAGTGAAAGCAAAATTTGATGCAAACACAAGCACAAGCAAAATCATCCGAGTGGTATTTTGTTTTCACTTGTTGCAGCACAAATGCAAGCATAAGCACAAGCACAAGAAAAGGAAAAATTTCAATTCTTGTGCTTGTGCTTGCACTTGTGCTTATGCTTGCATCAATGCCGTTTTCACAAATAAGAATTATTGAGTTTGCGCTTGTGCTTATGTCGTTAGTGAAAACCATGCTTTATGAATATGTCTTCAGATGGTGAATACTATGAATTGTAAATTTCTAAATGAATTGTTGATGTGTGTGGGGCCAGATGGTGTTTGCTAGACTGCCTAGAGTCATATCTCTGTGAGTATAAGTACCTGGGATTTGATTTCACCCCGATCTACCTAACATTTGATTTTAGTTTTCTCATATAAAATTAGTTGTATTGTCAAACTAACTGAAAGCACTGCTCTTTACTGTAGGATACTTGGAAATTTTACGACTTAAATGTACATGTAAGTCATACACAGAATTTGTCCTTGCCTTCAACCACACCCACTCATTGTTTTGTCAAAACCTATCAACACTGAGCCTCTGTAAGGGTGTTTTCGACAAAATCAATACTATTGATCAAACAACAATCTAGGACACTGTAGTTATGATTTACAAAGAATTAATCACTTTCAGTCAAAGTATTGACCTATGTTACGAGTATTAAATCTGTCAGACCCAGAAAAATTGAATATAGAAATTATTGTAATTAATAATAATGTTATTGCACAACATAATAATAGAAATGTTGGTGACAATTTCGTTGAAAAATCGACAATTTGATGAAAAAACTCAATGAAATCAAAGACATCAGGTATCTACATAATTGCTCTACAGGATACAAATTAATGCATAATCATGTCGAAAATGTGTTAGTACATCGTTTATAGGGATAAATTTATACAACATTTTCAGACTGTATCATGCAAAAAAAGTAAATTGGTACTGTAGTTGTACTGTCTTGAGCTAATTAGCTGCATCATGCACATAAAGCATCTTGTTAAAACAAGCTTATGTTACATTATGCAAGTCTCTGTTCGGCCAATAACATTTGAATTGTTGGCTCTTTTCCTAAACAACCAGCTGCAAATACTGTGATAAACGGTTGATAAATTCCTTGTAGACTTGTTATTAATAATTATTATGATGCTACACTTTGCAATTCTTGTTTAAATATCAAACGACTACCTGTCTGTCTGTTTTATTGGTTTTTAATAGACATCTTGAAAGAAGGAGCGAATTTGTTTTCAATTTTGAATTTGCAAAACCGAACTCGATCCAATATTGGTTTTGTTGTTGAAACTACAGTAACTCCATTGAAATCTACCGTTGACCCACAATGATTTAAAATTCATCCAATGACATTTCTAAATAACGTAAAAATATACGTGCATTAGAGTTAGGTACTAATATATGTACAGAGAAAAAAAGCAATAATTTTCGATCGTTGTTTATATACCGTAAATACTAACCCGTGCGACCATCGTTGGAAGAAGGCTTCGCGTGAACAAACTGGCATTGATCGCCATAAAAACAGTATCCATTCGTATTGTAGTACCGACATAGCATGGGCCTTGAAGGTCTGTAACCTGTCGCCGAGTTAGAATGATTCATTACTAGGCGATCGGCGCGTTTTCAAGAAATAAGTCGTTGCTAAAACATCGTAAATAAACGACCTTCAAATTACCGCCGCCATTTTTTTCTCTACTTCGCCTTGCGTTACTCTCACAAACGTGTGCGCACGCACGTTGATTCTTGGTACTAGTCTTCCACGGTCTTCCACAGTAATCCGCAACTTTGGGCGGGAACCTGCGGGAACCCATGTTCCCGTAGAAACACATGGTAGAAAAAGAGGTAAACTTTTTCAACATGTATAAAGGTTTAAACGACGACGAAGTGCCATTTAAACATATACTTTCTACTCAAACTGAGCATTTGAACTGGAGGAAAGTAAAGCCGAGAAAACAATGACCAGTTCCACAGTTTACAAAATCTGTCATGTCATGATGTATGGCACATCTTGAAAAATTAGCCTAAATTTCTCAGGTTTGTCATGCAGTACTGTAAACGCCGTGATGCGTCTATCAGAATTAGTGTTCCTATTTGTTTTACTAACGACTTTTAACACTAGTCAGTTTGTTATGGTTTCCCATTGTTCTTGAGCCCTGATTGGCGACTTCGGATCTGTGCTCCCTTCATGATCGTTTATCTCCAAAAGTTTTTAACTCAATAGCAGTCAAACGTATATGATGTGTAAAGCATCCGAACTTCTTTACTTTGGTGAGAACGCTAAAATGACGTCACACATTTCAAAATGTCCGCATCTTGGATCCGTCATCTTGGCATGGATTTCAAAAGCATTTCAACTGAGTCTGAACAGGAAAAATATAACGATGGAAGAAATGTAAAGAGTTTGAAAATGAAAATGTCATAAAATCCGAATCCATACTAAAACGTCAAATTAGGGTGAACATTTTGAAATATGGCTGCCATGATAACGACAGCCGGAGTTTGACAACTATTCTTGATCTTGGATTGTACTGTCACGCAATAAAAAGATAAGTCTGTACGTTTTCCTACACTTCAGATAGAGTGTATTCGTAATTTACAGAGCCTAGTATGGAGCCGCCATGTTGTTTTACCTCCGTGGTACATCAACACGGCGGCCGGACAATATTTTAAACATCCGAAACTTACTTTGGCTATCTAGGCGACTGATTATCTGTACTGAACAAACAAGCATTTACGTGAGCACTTTTCCTACTACTTTAACTTCTGGACAAGCTCACGAGATAAGAATATATTTTTCAACAAACGTATTCGTAGCATCACACACCGCCATAACTGATAACTCTGAAATTCAAAATTCATCTCCTCTTATGCCTGATGAGGATAAAAACTTTGGTGGCCCTTTAGTTTAGGATTTTAGAAAAAGATGACGTCAGGTGCAAGCGAAGAATAGCATGTATGCTGTTTTCGGTAATCAGCGCAGAGACTTTGTGCTCTCTAACGTCTGTTGTTCGCCTTAGTAAACTTTAGTTTTGAATCTTTACAAAAGCAGAGACCGATACGACGTAGGATGATTTTAAAATTAAAATCAATTTTTGAAGGTGACTTTGTACATCAATTAAGGAAAAAAATCAAAATACCGTGAACTGGGCTCCTTTAATTAATGTATGCACATCCAAGGGGTCAGAGGGGTCGAACTGGCTGGTTGGTTGCTAAAAATAAGACCATTGTCATAAGATTTACACTCAGTATATAATTTCTCGGAATAGCAAACACAATACAACAAACAGATGTGCTTGGTCGATTTCGTTATCGTTTTCGTATAATCTTCCAGTTTTCGATGGCGTCTTTCTTGACAGACCTCAAAGAACGCACAACTTGCCCGATTTGTAAGGGCACATACACCAACCCGAAGCTCATTGTGTGTCTCCATACGTTCTGTTGTGAGTGCTTGGAGAAACACGCAGCAGCCAGCCAAAGAAGAGGAAAGTTTCACTGCCCCGAGTGCGAGTGTGAAATTGCCGTCCCTGAAGGAAATCGTTTTGATCATTTGCCGACCAGCGCTCTCCACAACAATTTGTTGAGTCTTTCCGCTGTTCTACAAAGCGGCGATGGAAGTGAAGTCGTCTGTGGCAATTGCAAGAAAACGAGCGCCGAGACCAGCTATTGTTTTGATTGTGTGAGATTTATGTGCCCTGTTTGTTTGAACGCACACGAACGACTCAGAAGTTTTGCGTTTGAAGGACACAAAGTCACGTCATTGAAGCAATTTGGAGAAGACGACTACGATGCTTTTCTAAGGCGGAATTCCTTTTGCTCTGAGCGGAATCACGAGGAAGAAGTAGCGAATTTTTACTGCCTTGACTGCCAGCGTTGTATTTGTCGAACTTGCATAAACACGAATCACAACAACCATCATGTGGATCTGCTTGAAAAGGTAGCTGACAAAGAGAGAGCCAAAATCATGGCGGGAGTCGAGTTGCTGAAGGAAAAGAAAAAAGCTTATCTGGATATGATACGTGACCTCGAGGAACAAGCTGCTGAGATCGAAGCTAAGTTCGCCGCCGCTAAACTAGAAGTTTCCCAGGCAGCCGATGAAATGATCGCAGAGGTTCGTGCCCGCGAGCGTGAAACCATTAGCGCCCTCGATGCCTTCGAGAATTCTCGCGATAAACTGAACTCTTCAAAGAAACGCAGTCCTTGACCAAACGAATCAACCAAGCAGTCGAATTTGTTCATAAACAGGTTTATTGGGAAGCTCAAGAACAATAAAGCAGCAGGAATTTGGAACATGCAGCGATTTCAGGATCTTAAAAAAGCAGGGGGAGGGATAGGTGAGGGAAAAGAGGAAAAAAGGTGAAACACATCGAAGGGCTCTGTATTAAAACGCAATTGGTGTATATCTCGGGGCTGATTAACTTTTTAAACCACAATCGCGCATTTGAGCTGAACTTTTGCAAATTTAAGGGTCGTCATGAAAACGCCACTAACTAAAACATAAACTAACCGCTTTGCAAGTTTCTCCGTCCAGACCTTGTCGTCCACACACCCGAAATCCGATCTTAACAGTCCTAGCCGCATCACTTAGTTCATTAATTTGTAAAGGTAGTCCCTTTGTAGTACGCAGTCCACCTTGGTTTTACCAGCAGCAATATAAGCATGCGCAAAGTTAAATGTTTCCTTTTATAGTGACCCAAAACTTTACTGAGAACCAAAGTTACAAGTCTCCCTTTGTCATCTTGCTGAGTAGGACAGAAATGGAGCGAGATTCGTCTCCTTCGATTTTTTTATCTTGTACTTTCGATTTTTTGTCTTGTATTTTCGATCTTTTGTCTTGTATTTTCGAGTTTTACTCTTCTATATTCGAGTTTTTATCTTGTACATTCGAGTTTTTGTACTGTATATGCTTTCGAGTTTTTATCCTGTATTTTCAACCTTTTATCTTGTATTCAGTATCTTGTATATATCTATATATTGTTAATATCTATATGTTTTAACCAATTTACCCTACGAGCAGAGGCGGTTCGATTGGTTCGTAAAGTCGGGAAGAGGTCATCTTCCTCTTTCCCCACCTACCAGGAACTGATCGAAGCGACTGTGCTCACTCACAGGGTAAACTAATTTAAGCATTTTATTAGAATATTTAGATTTTGCATATTTGTTTACAATGCATTTTATAGTGTTCCATTTAGTGTTCTTCTTGTTTACTGACATTCAAGTATCGATACTTAGATAAAGGTATTCATTCATTCCGTAACTACATGTAAAGTAACAATAATGTACTAGTGTTTATTGCTGACTTTTAATAAAATGAGATTATGCGAGCATATTGACTGAGGGTCCACCCACAATGAATTAGAATTATTTTAATGTATGGCTTAACAACGTACGATTAGTATCACGTGATTTATACTCTTTTCATGTAAAAGAAATTTCAGTAGAACCTGAATACGTTATTTGTTAAGTGCCAGTGGGACTGAATTATGCTTATTCCCTTTCACTCCCTGTGGAACGTAGGTCCATGGAAACTGACCGCCATCTCCTTCTGTTTTGGGCCAGCTTCTCGATATCTTTCCAAGTGTAGCCTGCCTTTGACGCGCCATTGTCCACGGTTCTCCTCCAGCTGTTTCTATGACGATCTTGGTTTCTCTTTCCCTGTGGGTTCCACCTCAGTCCACGCCTGGTAACATTGCTGGTCGGTTTTCTTAGGGTGTGCCCAATTCAACCCCACTTGCGCCTTCTAATCTGGATGCTGATTCGTTCTTGTTCCTCCCTTCTCTCAGTGTATGCCCATGATGGACCGTAAGCATTTGTTGACAAAGGACTGCAATTTGTTGGAGGTTGCTTTTGTTACTCTCCATGTCTCTGACCAGTGCATACAAGAGGACGGATTTCACGTTGTTGTTTAACATCCGTAGTTTCGTCTTTCTGGATATCGTTTTAGACTCAGAATTGTGAAAGCAGTTCTCGCTTTCCAGATCCTCAGTTGGATGTCCCGATCACACCCGCCATCCATATTGATGTTGCTGCCAAGGTAGGCAAAGTCTTCCACTTCGCCGATTTCTAGCTTCCCTATCCAGTCCTAGCCCGTCTAAATTTGTGGTGTTAATCCTCATCCCCTTTGTCTCCCCTTTGTAAACGAGAGAGTTCTACTCGAGCGACTGCTCCAAGATGATCCTCAAGGTGGCAATGTGATCTGTACACGACCTTTCCTACCAAAACCCAGCTTGCTCATCCCGCAGTCGTCTGTCCACTACTACTTTCAGTCTCTCCAGGATTATTCTGTTCAACACTGACTTTTCGGCAGCTGATAACAGCATGATGCCTCTCCAAGTCTTACATTCCCTTAAGTCTCCCTTCTTTGGTAGTTTGATCAGGTAGCCTTCTTTCCTGTCATCCGTAGAGCATCAGCTCGTAGAGCATCTCTGTCGAGGTCCTGGATGGCTTCTGGTGGTATGTCATCGGGTCCTGCAGCTTTGCCATTTTTCAGATGCTGGATGGCTCTCCTGATCTCTGCTTTACTTGGCCTGTTCTCATTGACCTGTAAAGATTTGTTGGCTGCTTCTATATCAGGCATCTCGCTTGGTGGAGGTCTATCGAGCAGCGTTCTTAAGTGTTCTGCCCACCTCCTTCTTCTTCTTGAATTAAAGCCTAATAACTGAGCCTTGCCTGAGCCGTGATATTCCTTAGGCCCAGTTCAGACGTCGTGCTTCTGCCTTGCCGAACTTAATTTCAATTAGGTTCGACTGTACAACGGCAAAAACACGACTCTGATTCAGCCGTCGTGCCAGAGTCGTACCAAATTCAGTACTTACTGAGGCCACGTCAGCTCCCCGCGAAAGCGCAATTCTCCAAAATACATTAACATAATTTATGAATTTTGTCTGGCGCGGCAGAAGCCCTACCAGAGCCGCGTGTGGCACGGCAGAGCTTGTCCAAATTAATTGCTTATCGATCGCAGGCCGTGCTTCTGCCGTGCTTTTGTATTTAGTCGGCACGGCAGAAGCACGACGTCTGAACTGGGCCTTGGCCTCCTCTCGGAATTTTATCGAATGAGAAAAAGCTACAGCTCTAGACAAACCTAGTGGCACATTATTTCCATCTCTCTCTCCCCCCGTCACAACACCTATAAGTTTCTAGTTTCTTTTAGGTCTTCTCGTCACTTTAGGATATATTCTTGTTGTGTGGTAAATAAGAGATATATAAACTGTTGACTATGCAACAAAATTAGTCTTAAAGGGGATAGGGAGAGGCAACTTTAAAATCTTTACTGTAAGCACTGAAAATTAGCTCCAGCAAAGTTATGATACAAGTATAGCTCTTGGCTAGTTATTTACATCATATTGGTTATCATTGGAAATCTGTGAGGTAGACGTTTTGAGTGTTACCCTTTAATATTCACCAATTCCCACCGTGAGCATTTAAGCTACTTTTGCTTGGGGTCCAGTAAGCATCAGCAAGATGACTGACTTGTCTGCAGGCGTCGTTGCGTAGAAAAAGGGGCCCAGGCTGCTTGATAGTCTCGCGCCGCCTGTTTAGCGCGCCCATTTTGCGGGTCACAACGAGAGACGTCTGTGTCGAGGCGGAGCAAGACCAGTCCTTTATTTTGAATCCTTTATCTCCAGAAAGAGGAAAGGAGTACTGCTATACCACGGGTAAGTCTTGATGTACGATCAAATTCTCAGAATTAAGATATAGAAAAATGCAAAAAATCTGAAGGGGAAATTCATTATTTCTGTTACAGGAAGGGTACGGTTAACACAATCATAAAAGGCGCGCGTGGCGTGGTTCGACGTCGTGCTCTGAGGAAAGACACTTCAGTACAACTCACATAAGAAGGGTATCGTTGACCTGTAGGAGTCTCAATCCAGCTAGCGCTATTTTCCCTGATCCACTATACCGAAAAAAGATGGGGACTGGTTCGATTCACCCGTTATTGTTAGCGCACAAAAACCCTAACAACGCTCAAAAAATACAGAAACGTTCCAAACAATTCAAACCAAACATACACGACGTTGCTAATAAGGAAACAATATTGCAACAAAGGACCTTTTTTACATACCTAATGGATCATTCCCGAATTACCTTTAACCTCTTTCACAAAGCGAGTCTTGGTGCCCATCCTTTCCTATGAAAATGAGATTTCATTCACATGCAAGTTAAACTCAATTTCATATAAATGGTTGTTGCACCAGGCCTCGCTTTGATGGAGAGGCTTAGGTCAGCTCGGAATGGGATGTGACAGGTTCGCTGGGTGTGGTAAAAGGTACAGTCGCCAGCTTTTTCCCGCAGTGGAGTACTGCCGAACAGCTGAACAGCAGACTATCAGGATAAAAATTGATATGCATATGCACTAGGTTCGTATTTAACTGTGCTGGCAGCTAAATTAAATGACACCAAGAATTCACCATCAATTCATTTTAAACTCGTTTATATTTAATAAAATATCTTATCTTATACTTACTACACTGGCACGAATTTCATTACCTGCCTATTAAAAGCTATTGCTTAAAGATACTGTTCTGCGATCTCTTTTCTTTTTTTCCTCTTTTTTATGATGAAACAATCTTTTTTTTAATGAAATAGCCGACAAAATTCCAACGTCAACGGAAACAAAAAGAACAACTGTGCTATAATATACTGTGCATGAATAGTTGCTAACTACCTCTACAGCTGACCAGCGCCATTTTTGTCATGTATAGTGCCGTAGTTTTAGTGTGTTGACAGCCTTGAATGTAGTAGCAAGGAGAACATGGGGAAGAGGATAAAATGTAACCGGTGTGGAGGGCTTACCGGGAAGGAGTTGGTGGGTGGCACTAAGATGTAATGGTTGAGGATTTTATCTCAGTGCCCATTTTCTCCTCATAACCAACCTCAACATACTGTAGTCTAAATGGTCGGTTCTAATAACTATTGTTTGTTCGACTGCGTGTGACTACTTACAGCAACCATTCTTAATAGGTACCGTGCAAAAAAAAAAAAAAAAAAAAAAGTCACGTATTCTAACGTCGACTTGTCCAAAAGCTCCTGGCTAATCAAACAGTTTCGCTAAACTGCAACCAATTTACATCTTTACAAAAATATGTCTGCACAAAATATTCAAATCAAATTGGCTCGATGTTATCAAGCTTACTCTCTAAATCCACACTACTCTAATTTCATATTATAATTCAATCTATAACCGCATGTTTGAAATTTCATTTCACGAGATAATTTCATCACTTCATCCTAAGATAATCACAAACCTGGCAAACTCAAAAAAAGCCCCCAATGTAACAAATGCTGATTAAAACCCTTTTTTACACAAAGTTAATTAAAGAAATCTATGAACACTAAACCCATATCTAACAAATTTCTGATACATATTTTCATAATCTACGCAGACTCAACATAAATGATGAAACCTAGAGAATTGCACATAACTTCTCTAGAGAGTTTGTTTACCCTTCCTAATAAATTCGAATATTTTTAGTTACTCCTTTCCCGACTTGGTGTCGTAGATTCTTTTCCTCTTAAAAAAGTTACGCTTCGTCAGAAATGAACTCAAATCTCTTTCCTTCTACCGGATTAGAGCTGGTGCGAGACCGTCTCCTGAAAATTCTGTTCATGAAACCGTCTGGTTCGCTATCCAAGGAGTCGTTAGGAGCTGTGTTTAACATGGTGTAACCAGACCAGAAGTTTCTTGAGCCCATGTCCATATCCTCTACTTCCGGTTTTTTGTACCTTTAAGAGAGAGAGAACAAAAGTCTCTGTTAGTCAATATAGCGTCTACGTGGAATCAGTGTTGAGAGCGCATTCTCTCTGCTTCCTAGAACTCACAAAGGGTTTTCTAACGAGTGTCAAGGAAAGAAAACCGATGAAATCACAAAGCCAATCACAGAAGCGCCAACAGGCACAATGAACCAATCAGAATTCGACGTTACATTAGGTAGCAAAAAGCACGGGAAGTCGTGCACATACGTGTTTCATTTAATAGTGTTTAAGGAAAAAGCCATTCCCAGGTTACCTTTCCAGAGTTTACGTAACCGGAAATGAATTATTTCGAAAATTTATAAAGGAGATCACAAAACATCAGACTTAAAGATGTCCAACACTTACAATTTAAGCATGAGTGACGAGGCAACAACAGACACTGAAGAAGCCGCCATCGCAATACTCGCCATCCATGGCTTCATGACCACGCCCAGGGGTTCAAACGCTCCGGCAGCTAACGGGATTCCGATCATGTTGTAGATGAGCGCAAATAGAAAGTTGATGTAAATTCGACGGACTGTCACGCGGGACAGGTCGATGGCCACGGCTACATCCATTAGATCGCTCTACAAACAACACAGAATAACAGAGAGGTAAGTTAGAGTTCGACAAACGGATTTCAGATTTGTTATGCGTCCGTCGCCTTAACGATTTAGCAGTAGATCAACTCGAGTGATTTTCCAAAAAAAAAAAAAAAAAGAAAAAACAGCGCTTTCCTGTTCGACTTTACGGAAAAAGCCACGTAATGTTGCAAAAAAAGTGTGCACTCTAAAATATTTCAATCGCAAGGCTATCGCATTTAATTACTATACATTTCTTTCATTGCCAGTTGTGCTGTTCTTTACTTTCATCAGCTATTTGCACGACGATGCAGGATACCGTTGGAGGAAATTAAAACTCGACCACTTTCGCGACTTTGTTACCTTGATTAACACGACATCAGCCGCCTCCACAGCCACATCTGTTCCGGTACCGATGGCGATGCCGACATGGGCCTGAGCCAGTGCAGGGGAGTCGTTCACACCGTCTCCAACCATGGCTACAATAAACTTCTTGTCTTGAAGGGAACGAACTTTTTCCACTTTGTGCGAGGGCAGAACCTCGGCAAACACCTGCTCTATTCCAACCTACAGGTTCATCAAAGGCGGTAACTTTTAACACAATCAAGTGGTCTGATTTCACTCGTCATGCAACAATGAGATATGACCCAGAGTGACGCCCCAGAAAGGACACTAATGTATAGCATAACCAATTCCTATAGGTGCTGGAGATGCTGGGGTTTATGGCGATCTATTGATTTTTGCAATTCGAGCGGAAAACAATAAACCAAAGAGGCACACAGAGAGCCTAAAAACAAAACTGAGGTGGTACAAAAATATATACAGATTCATAGATTTGGGAAAAAAGGTTTTGTATAACCATCAGACAAACCAGAGTATCCTTCCTTGCAGGAATATTTTTAACGTAACTAAAATCGCCATGCCCACACAATGGTTTCTTTCACGTCATTGCAATATTTTTTTCAGAGTAGTACTTGAAGAGTTTCTACCAGAAAACTGAGCAGTTCTGTTTGCTTCACTTTTAATCATCGTGATAGTGCTGGCGCGCAAAACAAGCAACCAACATAGTTAAGACACACCTTAATTACATGAAATTTTTGGCGAAATTGTCGCGAAAGATAAGTGTCGTGAACACTAAGTGACGGTCGTTATGTCCAGTATTAAAGGAAGCATAAATTTATTACACTAAAACATACCATGTTAAAGTTAAAAAAGAGCTTAAACGAAGACAAACTGTTTTCTTTCAACGACTCTGTAATGCACTAAAAATTGTTTCTCGACTGGTTCTCACAAGGCAGGAAAACTATGTTGACGCAATTCTTAAATGGCAACAAAAACAAGCAACTTGTGTTGGTAAACAACTGACCTGCTTGGCGATAGCGAAAGCTGTCTTCTTGTTATCGCCGGTCAGCAAGACAACACGTATTCCCATTTTCTTCAGAGTGGCTACTGTGGCCTGAGCCTCGTGTTTAACCGTGTCGGCTACAGCCATCATGGCTACAAGGAGACCTAATGGGACAAAAGTGTCTCAGAGTTAGAATTCTGCTATACAAAGGTTTTACTCGGCCGGTAGAACCTCAGGGTTAGCGTTAGGTTTACCAAAATCTAGGCTCATCCAATTACCTGAGACAACAGAAAAGAGTTTCCCCCAACTTACACAGTAAGAATCAATAGCTCATCACGCAAACCATTCTTGAAGATTGCGTGACAAGAACATCTTCACAGTCCTGATTCTTACCGTCAATGCCGACGAGTACAGCGGTATGTCCCTTTTCTTCATGCTCCTGCATAGCGTCTTCCATCTCATCAGTGACCTCCAGGCCGTTCTGCTGCATCCAATCTCGGTTGCCAATGATCACGTGACAAGCGACTGGTTCTCTGGGAGTCACGCTATCTTCCCTAACTTCTGCTGCAAAATAAAAACACAGTCACAAAAATTGAGTATTGAAAGTGGAAAAACAGACCGATTCTAAATTAATGAGAAGCTTGTCTACAAGATAAAAGAGCGATAACAGACAACGGGAACAGAGAGAGCGTGGGTCTACACTGAACGTTTGGGTGAAACCGAGTTGAGATCTAAGGTCACACAAGTTATCGAGTTTTCCTCAACTAACTCAATGTTGAATCGGCAGATGTAACCACAAAGTAGCAATATTCGTTTCGCGTAAAAGCATAAGGCTGGTCACAAATAAAGGTTCTTACATAGCGCACATATCACAATTGTACCATGGTAATTCAACTACATTTGTGAGAGTGAGATCGGACATCGTTTAGCAAAGGCGCCTCTGGATGCTGCTGTCAGTTTGTTTATGATCTCACCTCGCCTACCCGGCCCATGGTAGCCAGCGAGAGATCAGATAGGACTACAACACAGGGAACTCTGCGTTCCACTGTTATCGAAGAATGTCGGGTTCTTTATCGTGCCCCTTGAGACGCAACCATCTTGGTGATCTGGCCGGGATTCTCACGAAAAAGCAGGCGCCAACCAACTAAGCTAACTCTTACGTTATACAGTTCAGTTATATCTCACCATTATCACTTTCGCTGATCACCGATGCCGGATCAATATCCTGGCTCTCATCTATCACAACTCCGTCAACCTTGACAGTCAGGTTTTTCTTGTTTTTGTCCTTGACAGTCTTGGGCTTTATCAACTCCTCAACACCGCTGACCTTGCAGGACAAACCGTACCCAGGCACGGCTTTGAAATCAGTACACTGGGCAAGAGTTTCGGTCTGAAGTTGCTGATGAATGGTATACGAGTATTTAGCTTACATGACGTCACAATCAGTAACATGACATAACAAAGATTGTCTTCAATTTCAAACTTTTTGGGGAGGCGCAGCGACCTCATGGTAAGTGCACTCGCCTCCAGGTCGAGCGGTCTGGGATCGAGCCCTGATCAGGTACATTGTGTTGTGTTCTTGGGCAAGACACTTTACTCTCACAATGGGCACCTCTCTACACCCAGGTGTAAAAATGGGTACCAGCAAATTTAATGCTGAGGGATAACCCTGCGACTCCTCCCTGGATGGGACGCAGTCGCTTCATGCTACTGAAACCGGAGATAAGCGCCAGCCTGATGGGCCACTTAGCTCGTATGCAGACTTAATCTTTCACACCTGGTGGGTGTCGCATTATCTTGCATCGTGATATCATGCGCTAAGTAGCTTTCACAAGAGGTAAATTGTTAACATACCTGCTTGGCATAATTGGTAATGGCCAGACCAATGGGATGCTCGCTGTGGTTTTCTGCAGTGCCTGTCACTGCCAGCAGCATTTCCAAGCTACACTGGCCTGGTTTAACAAACAGAGCAGTCTTCACCACTTCTGGGGAACCGTGTGTCAGAGTGCCTGTCTTGTCGAACACCACAGCATTGACCTGCAAATGTAAGATGGCTCTGCATAAGTGAACTGAAATATGCCTTTGAATTCTGGAGGTCCCTGGTTCAAATCCTCCAGCCTTCCGCTATCTGGATTTGCTCTCGGTAGTCCCGAGTTCAACTCCTCAGCCACTTGTGAAAACAGCCAACTGGTCAGCCTCCTACCAGTTGCATTTCTTAATAGTTTACCTTCTATTTGCAATATTTGTTTATTTATTTACATTGTCCCCATCTAGCAGAACAGTCGAGTGCTACATAAATTTGACACTTAAATAAAGTTGTTTATTTGATTATTATTTTTTATCTATTTTGATGTCCAAAGAAAGAAATTTGACTTGCAATTAATGAACTCCTAAGCGGCCTGTACGCGGTTGCCTGTAAAACTTTTCTTTACTGAGTTGCATTTTGCCTATGTTTAATTGATATTCAAAACGAGTCTTCAAACGAAAATGAGATTTATTTGCATGAATAAGAATGAAATTGCAGGCAGAACACATTTTAATATCCATGGTTTACAGAAGACTTAACACATAAGCAAAGACAACTATTTTAAAAGAAGTTAAAATTGAACAATTTCAAAGTCACCTTATGTGCAGTCTCCAGTGGTTCTCCTCCCTTGATAAGTATTCCATTCTGAGCTCCAATGCCTGTGCCCACCATGACAGCTGTTGGGGTGGCCAGACCAAGGGCGCAGGGGCATGCAATGGCCAGCACTGTTATACCGATCTGAAAAGCGAAGGCGAACACGAACTCTATCCTGTTATCCTTGCTGGCCTGCGGAGAAAGAAACAAGGAGGATTAAACATACAAATTAAGAACCTACGTGGGCTACATTGGCTTTTGACTGTATTGGGCTGGACTAACTAAACAAGTCAAATTTCGCATCAATGGACCTTTTCAGCAGTATGGCGGCCATTTTGAGTTTTATTGTTTCAAATAGCTATTATGGGATGCTCAGGGGGCAAATTAGTATGTATTTGCCCCCTGAGCATCCCATAATAGCTATTTGAAACAACAGAATTCAAAATGGCCACCACATCAATATTAAGGTTCATTGAACCAAATGTGATTACAAGCTTTATAATAGTTAATCTCTTAATGATTGGTGCGGGCCGTAATCAGTCTACTGTACGGCCCACTAAAATTTCAAGCTGTTCCAGTTGTCGCCAAAACATCTCGTGATTTTCCCTAAGTTTGCATAACGTTCATGGCAAATAAACTAGCAACAGATTCGTGGCAAGGCAAAGCCAGCTCAGTGTCACAAACTATGGCAAACAACACTCACATCATAGGTTTTCCTTAGCAACGTGATGTCCACAAATCCAATAACAAGCCAGACGACCCATGTCGCGATTGAGATAACAACAACAGTGGGAACAAAATACGCTGACAACTTGTCTGCAAACTTCTGAATCGGGGCCTGCAAGCGATTGACAATTTCTCTTTTTAGACAGAAACAAAAAGATTATCCAAGGAGATATCAAAATGAGATATTCCACACCACGAGTATGAACTTGGCTAGTGCACTGGATTTCAGAGTTTTGGACAAGACAAATTCTTTTCAAAGTGCTTCTCTTCACCCAAATGTATAAATGGGTACCAGCCACTAATTAGGTAAAATCTGAGAAAAAAAGTACTCGGTGGGATACCTGCAATGGACTGCCTAGAAAATAAGATAAGTAACAATGCGAGAAGTATCACACAAAACTGAGTTAAGCATCGACACTGACAAAAACGTCAGGGCGTGGTTGTTTTAAAGCTTATTACCGCCGACACCAATGAAATGGTTTATTCAAGTTTATTTTCTCTAGTATAAATTAAAGTAGGTATTTTTTCCAGTGGTAACCAGGGTTTGAGATCAGTAAATACTAAAACTGAAAAACTCAAATGTAGACTGAAAACCTACATGTAAGTCATTGTTACAGAACTGGAATTTTACAATTTACGCGATTCCTGGATGAGCTTGACCATGCTTTGGACAACCGGGCCCAGCCAGTTTGACCGTTGGCAGGTTAGTAAGATCTTTTATCGTGTGATTTCAAGGGTAAAGGGCCACTTGTTTGTTGGTGTCTACCATCATGTGCCACCTTCTCTAAATAAAGCTGCTCATGAACTTACTTACTTTAATTGACCTGAGAGAAACTAAAGATTTGTGCCTAGGTCAACATGTTCCTGCATTTTCTACTTGACTTGTAAATCAAATGCAACACTTCCAATTTCACGCTTACCTTGGAAGTTTGAGCCTCCTCAACTAACTTCACAATCTGTGACAGTGTAGTGTCCTGACCCACATGAGTAGCCTCGATCAATAAGGATCCATTTTGATTGATAGTTCCACCAATCACAGAGTCTCCTGGTTTCTTGATGACAGGCATGGATTCTCCTGTGATCAAGGATTCGTCTGCAGTGGATGTTCCTTGAAGAACTTTGCAGTCAACCGGTATTTTAGCTCCTGGGACAACCTTGACGAAAACAAAATGTACATGCCATCTTATTCAGCGTCCACACTATGCCGGAGGAATTCAAAATCACAGCTTTATTTCCACGGTTAGTCCCACTGTCCAGGCTAATCCGTCACGAAAACGGGGAGTTTTGAAAACGCTATTCAAACCAGAGGACTTTGAAAATGCGGGTTTTTCATTTTCATGTGGACAGGGACATTGTGTTGTGTTCTTGGGCAAGACACTTAACTCTCACAATGCCTCTCTACACCCAGGTGTATAAATGGGTACCGCTGAATCTAATGCTGAGGGGTAACCCTGCAATGGACNGTAGAAATACTCCTAGTTGTTTCATGCTACAGAAATCAGGATAAGGTCCGGCCTGATGGGCCACTTGGCTCGTATGCAGACTTAACCTCACCTCACATGGTACTGCATACCTATTTTAAACTGCAGCTAATCACTTTTTCAAAAAAGGTAAGACAAATTCTTGGCAGGACATTTACCTTGAGCACGTCTCCACGCTGTACCAGATCAACATTGATGACCTTCTCACTGACCACAGTCATCGTCCCTGGCTGAAGTTTAACCAGCAGAGCCTCTGAAGGTTGTAACGACAACAGCTTAGCCAGCGCCTCTGATGTCTTCCCTTTTGCCACATGCTCCATCCAGCGACCAAGAGAAATGAACACCAACAACATCGGTGGAGTGTCGAAGAATGTCATTGGGCTGTGGTTGCTCTTCTCTACCATGGCGACACCGACAACAACAATCTGGCAGAGAATGGATTGGATATGTAATGAGAAATTCAATTCTCAAAAGTGACCAAAATCTAAATTCCCCCTACACTATCAAAGAGGCAATCAGACAGGTGTACAGATGGAAAAGAACTTTTCACTCAGCACCCATGCAAGTGTATTGCAATGAAAGAAAGTGTTTACATAAAAAACAGTTCAACTCCCACAGAATTGGTCAGCAACATGGCCGCGATTTCATTGTTTTGGGACACCAATATGGCTGCTGTAATGTCATATGAAAACACCCTATAAAGAGTGTCATCTTTCAATTCACTGTGAGGATAAATATAAGTAATATTACTCTCTGACTCTTAAAGTCGGCAAGCACAACACTCACGGAGTAAACATAAGCTATTGAGGTGGCCAGCATGATCAGCACATCCATGTTTGTTGTCCTGTGTTTCAGGGCCTTGTAAGCTGTCACATAAAAATACTGTCCACCAAAGACCTACAAAAAGAATGACACAAGAAAGATGTTAAAAGGAAAAAAAAAGTGGTTTTCTACCAATATCATTTTCATTACTTGGCTTAGACAAGAAAAATTGGCATGATTAACACATTTTATTACTTTCTAACATTTTGTCAATACATGTTTGTTTGCAAGATAAACAAATACTCCCAGGCGCTTAATGCTACAAAAACCAGAATGGGTCCCTGGGGTATGATCCACAGCGGGGCTTTTGCATTACCTTTAGGGTATTGAGCAGAAAAAATATGACAGGAGATAATGTGTTGTTTTAGAATTGGTACCTCTTTGGAGTGAAAAAAAAAAAAAAAAATTTCAAGCCATGCCCACAAAACAACATCCTGGTACCTCTCAGGGGTTCTGTTCAAAATTTCTGACGAGTACCCCCGTCTTTTTGATATGAGAGTCCCCCGACGTCAGGCCACTTGGCCTAATGCAAACTTTTCCTCTTTATTCATGTAGCTAGTAAAAGCAATAACCAATTGCTTTGATTTCGAGTGTAGTCAATACTGACCTGAACTGGGGTACACAGGATAAACATCAAAAGGTTCTCCAGAGACAGACCAGGCAAGATCATTTGGTTTGGCCTCTTCTCCAGTTCATCCAGGATCACATAAGTGATAAATATCACAAATGTTGGCACTCCAAATATCAGCGAAAACAGAAAGGATCGCCTCCACCTGAAAGGAGAGAAAAGTAATGAAATAAATATCCACCCAGGGGCAAATGCAAAGCCATGTATATATTTCCCAAAAATATTGTTATCTTTGTGCAGTATGAAAATGAGCTGCAATGAATGTTTCAAAATCATTAAGATGTCATTGTCAAGTTGAAAAATATGTCAAAACGTTGTTTCATATATTTGCTCATTTTCACATTGACATATTTTCTACAAGCCTTGCTTAAATCCAATGCATTGTATAAATCAACATAATAAATCAAAACACTGAGCTAACATTGATATGGCTGAAAAGGTGTTGATGATGCTTCTAGTAAAGTTCTGCAATTTTCTTGCTCTATTTTCCACTTATTATCTTCTATTGCCATGGTGCAATGTTCTGTGAAGGCCAATTTTGCCAGCTGAAAGAGAGCTTAAACTACTAAATTTTCAGAACAGAGAGCAAAATAAATGTGACAAACAACACAGAGAAATTTTAACATTTTGAGGTTGGGACTTCAAAGGTGTAAAAATCATTGTCTGAGGGAATTCTCACTTCGATGGCAGTAGATGAAACGCTAGAGAGTGACCATTCAAACAAAAGCCATTGAGCATTTCTTGCACATGGTACTGTTTATAATGCTGTGCTAGGTGGCTCTTGCTTTACTGTGCAATATTATAATACAGTTATTTTTTAAAAAAATTCCAGTCCTCTTACTTGCTTATTTCCCTTGAATGATCTATCCTGTCTTTTTTCTTATCGTTTGTGTCCAGTGATGCTCCAAAACCCAGTGACTCAATCGCCTCTATGATGTCCCGAGGACCTGTCGTTTCTGTATCAAACACAAATCGGCCACTACTGGTTGCCAAAGCAACTGATGCTCTCAGTATTCCTGGTCTCTTGCTGATGTTAGATTCTATCAAATGCACACAGGATGAACACGTCATGCCTGTTATCTGAAGATAGAATGCAAACAAAAATAATTTTTTACACAGGCCACCATAGTTGAATTGACTGACTATAAATGTGTGGTTTACATGCAAGTCTAGAAATTAACCTGACTATATCAGTCCAAAATCAGTCACTATACTGTTTTTATGTTTTTTTGTTTTCTTTTGTTTTTTCTTTTGTTTTCCTGACGTTTTTCTTGTAATGCTGTACAAGGGAATTCTAACTGAAACCCTAGTGTGTGACCATTCAAACAAAGCTATTGAGCAGCACTCTCAAGTGATACTGTTTATGCTCTACATACAAGATGGCTCGCGCTTTTAAGTGTACAAAAAGTAGAGGGTGGGCGAACTCACAATTAAGTCAACCGTGCCTTCTCCCTGCCCACTTTGATCCATCAAATCACAGCCATATCCCAATTCCTTCACATGGCAAACTATTTCATCTGCAGTGATCATTTTCTTGTCAAATTTGACTTCTGCTTTCTGTGCTAGTAGGCCAACAAGGACAGATTTTATTCCTGGAGGAAAGGTTAAAAGTAAAGAGATTCCATCATTAATTTATTACAGAAGATAAAAACAACCTCTTGCCCTGATAAAGTGGCAGATGCAGTTGTCAAGACAAGATGGCATAAAAGTGCCAAAGTAAGACCTCTGTACAAATACCTGTACCATCCTGGAGAAAACAAAAGTGGCAACTGTAGGGAGGTGTCAAAAGTAAATAATGTAAAAACAGTAAATGCAGTCAGTAGAAACAGTCACTGTGGGTATTTTGGCTCAACTACATCTCGCCAAAATACGAACCATGGCTCAACCAAACTTGCCTGATTCACTGCCAAAGCATACCCAAAAGGTGTATAAAAGGTAAAGGTAAAGACAGCATACGAGCCAACTGGCCCATCAGGCCAGTGCTCATCTCTGTAGCATGAAGCGACTAGGAGTATTTCTACTCCCCCCTGGGTGGGATGCTAGTCCATAGCAGGGTTACCCCCAACATTAAATTTGTCGGTACCAAATTAGGACTGGATACATGTATAATAATAATAATAATAATGCTGCTGCTGCTGCTACTGCTACTGCTACTGCTACTGCTACTGCTACTGCTACTGCTACTGCTACTGCTACTGCTACTGCTACTGCTACTGCTACT